AAGCCTGTGTCTTTTTTGCAGTCATTCCAGCTGAAGTAAAAGATGCCAGAAATTCCATTTCATAGACGTGAAAAATGTACCACACTATTCCACTGAGGTCAAGAGAGTGAAACCAAGGCTTCTCCAGGCAATTGGCTTCTTCTTTAGAAGAAAAACACAAGGAAGCTGTTGAGAACGGAGCTTCAATCAGGTATGCACAAAGAAAAGGGGAGAACGAGTAAGATAGGAGTAGCAGCTAAATATATGCTCAATAAACCAATGGAAACTAATGGAAAGCCAATATAGCCCGGAGGAGGTTGCACTGGCAGATGGTGGAATGATGGATTCCACAAAACAGTCTTTGATGGATGTTTTTGTTGTTAAGAATGACATTTTTATCTCAATGGAGTTCATTAAGTAGGTAAGAACTCAGGTCTTTGCCCATGCTTTGAGCAGGTGAAATGGCTTGATGATTTCTGGGGTTCCTTTCCAGCCTCAGTTCTTTTGTGATTCTGTGAAGATTTGCAGATTTATAGTCAGAAGTTGTGGCACTGGATAACTTTTAAAAACAGTTTAGAAAAGTCCTTAGTTATCCGAAAGCAAGAGAACATTTTGTCCTAAAGCCTCCTCACACCTATTGTGTGTGATGTCAAAGTGGTCCAAACTATTTGCATACGAATGAGATCTGGTTTATCCTTTGTACCTTTTGTCATCTGCAAACCTTTATTTTTTTTCAACTTCAGGTAATCAGATAAAAATGTTGAGCATTATGAAGTTTGCAGGAATTGATCAGAAATGCACTTGATTTCTTTTTTTTTGTTACACCTTAAGGCTCAGTTTTTAATCTATTGTGTGCTTGTATTGTTGTAGGTATGAACAAAAATGTTGTGTGCTATGAAATCAGTATCTTACATATTTTTTTTCTTCTCTTGACCCTATCAGCCTTACGATTCAGATTTTTAACCTAATCCTGAATTATTTTAAGACCTTTATTTGGTACATCCATGACCAATACTAATTAATTATATTTTAATTTTCTTGCTAAATTCTACATTACAATTATTTAGACTTTATTATTTTTTTTTTTTTAGTACTAATGCAGTGTTAGCTTTCTTACAATCTTCTAATACTTTCCAACCATTTAAAGGCTCACTGAAAGGAAAATTAATCGTTCATAGTGTGACTTATCCAGCTTCCTAAATTCTTGGATGTCGTTTATCTGATCTGCAGGTTTAAAAAATGTAGCTTGATGATTTTTTAACATTTTCTTAGGTACTGCTGGATTGCAAGGTATTTTCACAATGTGACTACACAGCCTAGGCGTCATTTAAGAAATGTGACAAAATAACTATTAAACATTTTTTTAAAAATGTTTTTTGTTATTACTGATTCTGGTATTTCAATTTAGAAAGGGTCCAGTAACACAGTGGAAATTAAAAGATCTTTGTTGTTTTTCAGAACAAACTCCTTTCCATTGCCCTCAGTTAAACTACCTACATGGACTTCCCTACCCCCTGTGTTTGTTTGCTTTTCTTATCAACCTCTCATAGTTTATAACTCCTGGTTTTACAGACACTATTAAGAAAAGTCTCCCATTCTGCCATCTGAGCTAGCTGTTTCAGTTCCCCTCTCTGGCTGTGGCTCAGTGAGCAGCAGAGCCAGGCTTATGATGCGTTGCAGCTGAAAGGGGAGATCTCACTCCCTGCCCCTTCTCTGCTTTTGGGTGGGGAAATGCCCGTGTGCAGTGTTAGCCACACCATGCTGCTGGCTGGTTCAGCTGGATAACCTACCAACAATCTCCCTCTCTTCTTTGTTTCCCTCTCCTGGGTTTGCATTATGTTTGGTTGGTGATTTAAGTTGACTCATAGGCCAATACGATGCATGCCAGAGCTGGTGCAAGGTGTGGTGGGTGAAGTGGACGAGTGTGGTGTCCGTCTTTTGGCACTGCCAGGATGTTGAACTGGCCCATCGTGAAGCTGTAGTCTAAGCCAGTTTAGTTGTTAATTACTCTAGACCTTTCAATCATGGGACTGCTGCTTTATAAGGATCAGTAAAATCTAAAAGTTGACCTTTTAAAGTACTACCTGTCCGTAATATTAGTTTGGATTGATTATAAATAACGAACACAAATAATGGTGACTTGGTTGTCAGAACTATTTGCTTGTGCCATCCAGCCAGGCAGCTTAAGATGAGGTATAGCGTATGATTCTGATGGCTACATCAAATGGTGTTCTCTTTTTCTTTCTTTCCATGACCTTCATGCTCCTGTCTCCCGTTTTGAGCTCAGTTTGGGGCACCATAAATTAATGTGCATACTTCACAGCTTCAGTGAAGAGGACAAAACTGACAACGGATATTGCTGGATGCATGAGCAAGATCTAAAGATTAGACCCAGATGCTGAAATAATGGCTGGCAGACTTCTGTGAATAGTGGAAAAGGTGAACTTTTGGATGCTGCTCCTGCAATGTCTTGGTACAGGCACACATTCACCTTTCTGATGACTTGAATAGGAGGTGTGGTGAATCTTTGTTCAGAATGATTCCTTAAGGGTAAAATTCAGCACATTTTTTGTTTAAAAACTAGTGTTGAGGTTAGAGTCACACGTTTAAGAAACAAGACATGTTTGGAAGGCTTTTGTTCAACCTGTGGCAAACAGTGACTTTTCCTAATCATTTTTTGCTAATCAGCAGTAACACTGGGACAGCCTTAGTAACTCTGTATCATTGATGACTATCGATATAACCCAGCAATGACAGTAGTGGGGAGGGGAAAGGAAGGCAGTGGAGGCTATGGATATTATATAAAGGTTGTATCAATTTGCAAAGCAGGAGGGGGGAATCAGCAATTGCAAAAATCAGCTGCTTCATTTAACAACAGTGAAGAAAGAACTGAGCAGAAGTGAGCCATCACTGAATGCATAGCCACTGATAGCTTGCTGGAGCAGAAATGAGACCTTCAGGAAGGGAGATCAGGCAATGCTAAGAGGAAGAGTTGAACTGTTACCATAATTGTGAAGTTGGCGTAATTTATGACATGATTATTATCCTGTTTTGTTGTTGTGTTTTAAATATCTGAGTTCTAAGAATAAAAAAATGCCAAGTCACATAACAAGGCTTTTAGCAAGAAATACATCTGAGACACTGGCAAACAAAATGATTCCTTAGGTTATAGTAATTGAAACAGTCATCCCAAATTAAGAGAGATATAATGGATTCAAACTGAAGTGAAAGCAAATATAGGAAATGCACCATTTGAATATTAAATTCTTAATAAGTAATTCAGGAATTGCCTCTTGTTTCTAAGATTATTCTTTACAGGCGGGATGATATCTATTGGTATTGAGTTAACTAAGGAAGAACTTAAAAATCAACACATCAGTAAACACAGAGGTCACACAGTGTTGAGAAGGAATACGTAGTAGTGTAATAATATGCACAGCTGAAGATAAAAATCAGGTTTTCAGTTAAGAGGCCTGGTAATCAGTCCAATCAAGGGCACTACACAGTAAGTATGCTATTTGCTGCTTTAGTACCTTGGACTGTTTTTAGCTTACTCTATCCTTACAGGAATTTCTGATTTTTTTTCTTGCATGCTCTAAAGTAAACTTGCCCTTTCATGGCAACTGAAATGGAAACCAATTATCTAGCAATTCCAAGAAAACAAAAGGTATGCAGATATTAAGATGCCTATCTTAAGCTTCTCAAACATGCAAGACTTGAAACGTAATGCTTTTTGGCATGATGCAAGACCTTCCTGGCTAGTTGGATGGCAAAAACCACTACACTTGTAACTTCCATGCTGTTCTAGTTGATAATCAAATAATTCATCTGCTTCAAATGCACTACCTAAATATTATTTGGCAGTGGTAGAGGTAGACAATTATCCCTGAAAAACTATCTGATAATACACTTAGATAATGACAAACCAGCTCGAGCAGTATAAATCCAGTTTGTAGGAGCTGTGAGCAGTACCTGGGCACTGGCTTACAATAACAAGTCAAATGTTAACAGAAGTGCCAGGGCAGCGATCTCCAGCACTTTGGGCTAAATGACTGCTGGAAGGACTGAGCAGAGCTGAACCCTTTCACATCCCTAACCAATAACAGAGGATGCTGGGTGAGTAGCAAGGAAATGGCTTATGAGCCCTCCTTGCCACAGTCCATTCTTTTGCCTTTGCTGAAGACAAGAGTCCTGGGCTAGACGGACCACTTGGTCTGGCCACAGGGCAGTGGCCAAAGGGCACTTGCATTCTTCATTCCTGCCTTGCAGCAGAAGATAGCAATCAAACCCCACCCTTGGACTATTATTTGCCAGCATGACAAGAATGGTACTTACTGAAATGATATCCAGCCAGCTGAGAAAGTCAATTCAATAAGTCATTACTTATTAAACTACACAGACTGTGGGACTAGTGGGGAAGAAACAGACACAAGCATACATTTGTTCAGCTTCAACCTTTGTTCCTGTGCTTGAAGCTTTGAGGGGTTATCTATTCTCAGACTGTGGAAGTAGTAGTACTTGAATTGCCTGCTGTTATGACTGGGGAAATGTAAGTCAGAAAGAATTCTGTTAGCCTCGCCGTGGACTTTTTTCCTGTGCACTCAACAAAATATATGCTTATTAGGGAAGTTAGGGAATGTATAGCATTTTATGGCACTATTTAGAGACAGCAGCTACAAGTTAACTCATCTCTACAAAGTCAAGATCTTTCTGACAAACGTATCTGCAGTTTTGTCTGATCTTAATTAGTTAAATACATCAATTTAGTAAAGGCAGAAGACATTGTAGACATCTTCCCAAGCATTCCAGTTTCGTAAAGATGTAACTCTGCAGAAATCATCTTTCCATCTTTTTTGTGTTGTTTTAAAGTACAGAAAATAGATCATACATTATCTCTACTACTTATTACTTGCAAATCAATTAACACTTCACAAACATGTAATACAGGCATATTTTTGTTCTATTATCGTATTGTACCTCTCTGGCTTTGAGTGCAAAAGTATAAGCAAGATAAATCAGTATTTAAATTATATATTACATGTTTATTATGGGTGCAACATTTTTTAAACTTACATTTTATGAAAAATCAGAAGTATTTACAATTTTCGCAAGATAAACTTGTATGCTCTAATTTACAGTCTGACGTAGTAACAATTCATAAAAATTCAGATCCTTTAGAGTTGTGTTTACAAATTATTTTTTTAGGAGGCAGCTACAAAGGATATTGCTGTATACACAAGCAAGAACCAGCTTGCTACTTTTTTTCTTCTTTTTTTTTTTTTTTCATCAGACAGCTACATGTATTTTTTACATTGTTTTTGAATTTCTTTACAAAAAGTCTACATAAACTTGTATGGCTTCAAAATTGTAACCTGCACCCAATGCAAATGTATGTATAATCACCTGAATGAAGACTAGTTTAAAAGTGCTGAAACATAACTACTTCATTTAACTTAGAATTGAAAGTAACGGTTGATTAAAAACAGCTATACAGTTTTGGGTTTTCACTAATAAAACATATTAATGTTAAAGAGCATTTGATTGCAAAGCAGATTACAATTAAGATTCCAGTAAATTGACTGTACCATTTTATGTGAGTTAGAAATTCATCATTCAGTAAGATCATCAAATTAGAAGCCAGATATACTCTTCCAATCACGTCTAAAGTACAGTATCCCCATAATGCTAATAATGGAAATCTCATCTGCAAAAGTGTATAGTATACCCCAGAATTTATGTAGCCTCTGCAAAGCTTAATTTACTGTAAAGCTTCAGCAGTCCAATTTATTACCGGTTCTGCATGAATTAGTTCTAGCAAGTTTTATTGTTTTAATATACAATTTAAAATAGATACTGGTATTGTGAATGGTCATATAAAATCCCCACTTGCACGTTATTAAATTATTTTGCTCCAATACTTTTGATTTCTGTATTGAAAAAAACACTTGATAATAAAAACACATAAAATATTTTCTAAATTAGAAATTTACTTTAAAAATGTTACTAATGTGTCACTTCCCTGTGCTTAGGCTGTATACGAAAGAGTAGATGACAAATATTAAAATTGGTGGTTACAGATAAAATTTAAGCTAATAAAAAGGGCAGTACTTGTCATACTGCTGCCATAAAATACCCTTCTGAAATGCTATTCCTCCCAAGGTATTATGTTTACATTCACTTCATACAATTCCAAAAGCACTTAAATTCCAAAGACGTGCAATCAAAGTGAAGGGAAATGCTGTCTGTGTGCTGTTATAATCCTCAGTGATTTTTCAGGATTCTCATCTTTGGTGACATTAAATTTTCTGTATCGAAGTTTCAATGTCCTGCATGATGCATCTCCCTTTACTATGGCTGCATGTATTGCAATTACCCCATGAGGAAGTAATCCAGTATTTTAAACCTCTTTTAAAACAACCTCCAGTTTTTGCAGATCTCCCTTTTAAATCCCAGTCAAAGGAATTTTTATAAAGTTGTATGTCTTATAAAAACAGTATGCTTTCTTTATGAAGGGCCAAACTTTGAAAAAGGAAGTGAGGCACATGAATAACAAACTGGATAGGCACAGGTTTCTTTTAAAGGCACAAATGTTATGCAATTCATATAAAAATAAATTAAATCTACAGCATTAATTCAAACAATCACAACGCCCATAAAATTTACTAACTGCAGAAGTAAATCTCTTCTGTCTTTTGCAATTTTATAACACATTGCACTTCGGAAAAAAAAGAACAAACACCTATATAAAACAACTTAGATGTTAATAATATATGATACATGGGAATCAAGTTACATTTTTATACACCTCTAACTCAAATGGTTTATGGCATGAGTGGATGGAAAAACTACATGAGTTTGCCTTTGTTTTCTTTAAAAACTGGCAATTAAAGAATCTGATATTACTTATGGAAAGCTCAAATATTTCTTACTTTCCTACGTTTTAAGGTTTAATGCTTACCGTATAACATACAATTTCATACTTTCATTACAACTATTGATTACCATTTTGACTTCTATATAAATTTACTTAAATTTTAACAAATTTTCCCCAATATTGCAGTTGATCATTTACAGACAGTGTTGAAGTTAAGTTCAGTGCTATTAAAGTAATAAAAAGTTTGCAAAATGACTTTCAAAAGTGCATTTTCTGTTCTGTAGTTCAGCCTCAAAGTAGGTCAACATTTAAAAAAAATTAATGCATGTTAAAATAGTGTTTGAGAAGTAGAGGGGGCAGAGTGAGCTTCTTGCACTCCTTTGATCCAATGACTTTCACAGGTTCATCAGCAGTCTGCCATATACCGTCCTGAAAAATAAAGGTAGTTTTTTTTGCATTCAGTAGGTAAAATAGATTTTGTCAGTATTTTCCTGTAAGCAGTTTAACTAACTATGGAAAAACAAAAGAAATGCGAAACAACTTTCAGACGTGTTTTAAGGAAACATCATTATGCATCAGTTGTTTAACAGTTTCATAATCCATAATTTAGCACTACAGAATACACATCATATATTAATTTCAGTACATAACCATTTCAACATCTTACCAGTGGCAAATCTCTTCTTAAGTAGGGAAAGCCGATAGCCAGTGCCTACTAGCTCTACATCTACTCCTGAAAGGGTGCTTCCTTCACTTATGAATTGCACTGCAAGTGTTGCTGGTTTACTGGGTCCTTCTGAAAGTTCAAATTTTGCCCTGAGGGATCCAGAACCTATAAAAAACAGTAATGTACCAAGAGGAAAAAAAACCCATCTCATTCTTCTAACATAGACAAGATCTAATTAAATACATTTCCCAAAAAACTTTAATTGATTTTTCATAGACATTGGTGAAGCTCACTTCAGTGCCATTACAAAATAGCAATAGTTCAAAGTTATTTTAAATACACCTCTGTAGCTAGTGCAAGGCATTAAAAAAACATGCTACTTCTCCCTTTTTCTAGTTCTTTAACATTTTCTTGTTCTTGCACTGTCTAGCGGGAAAATAATGAGATTTAAATAATAAATAATGCAATAGTAAAAGTCAAGTCCCTTTACTTGCTTAAAATAACTTGCTATTCCTAGTCAATAGGAATGGCTAATTGATGAGGAGAGCTAGTAACTTGATAAATTTGCCATAAAGTCCACTCCATTTCTTTATTACGTATGTCATAGTTTGGGTAAATGGATTCTCATATTCAAGAGCTTTGAAAGTCAGTTGTGTTTTACCTCTGTGATTCACCCCTCATCTAACGTGCTGGATTGTACAAAAAGCACATTTTACCACCCTGTGCACCGGAATAAACAGACTTCAAGGCATTCACCCTAATATGAAGTTTTTCTGTAACTTCTATTGTTCCTATAAATGTAAGCCTGGCATAGTATTACTTCCTCGTAAACACTGGATTGTGAGTATTAAGTATTTGCACTCAAGAAATAGGGAAACAAAGATGGTGGGAAGACCAGGGAATATAACAGAACCAGTGGGATATGCAGAAGTCTACTGGACACACACAAGATGTGATCTGCATTACTAGCAGTCCATTTCATGCCACTCTGCAGGTGTGCAGTAGTTTTTCATCTGGCTGCATTCATGTTTTAGTATGGCTTTTTTTTCTTTTAAAAGAAAATATAGTTTAGAAAAAAAAAAGAAAAGAGACAGCTATCCCTACATAATCAAAATGGAAGACGAATGGCAAAGAACTGTGAGGTCAGTGAATGGTAAAGTACACCAGACTACAGCAACAACCTCTGTCAGATCAACGTCCCTCAGATTTTGTTCAAATGACCACCACAACTTTGCAGCCTTTACACCAATTGAAGAGGGCTTCCCTTTCCAGGCTTATAGTTCCTATATGAAATCAGACATATTTACAGGAAAATCTATGCTTTCATAATGCTCTTCACTAAATTCTTAACAGGACTAGAGGCTCTTCCAAGGGCCACAAGGCCATTTTTTACATAGACGCTTTGTGGATGAGATGCTTCCCTTTTGCCCCTACTTTTCTAATTCAGAAAAAACATTCCAACTACAAAGTCTTCAAGGACTGTGACATCAATTGGACTTCAGGGAAAGGCAGCTGTGTGGAGGATACCTACTGACACCTCACAAAATGCCACATAACCTACCACTCTGAGCAGATGCACAGAGTCTTTTTTTTTTTCTCAGAGCTGTATGCAAAAATAAAGACCCTCAAAATGCTGGTCAGGAATCATCTAGAGTTGAGCCTGTTTCAGCACAGCATTTTTCTAATTTTTTTTTTCAGTTCTTCCACTCTTGCTACTGTATCTCAATTGTCAATGTGTGGCAAAACGTAAGAGAGTGAGAGATCCTTTTTCTTCGAATAATTGCTCATTTTCAAATAGCATTTGTAATAGCATATGTAATGATTTCCTTACTAAATCTAAACTCTATTTCAGAGCTGGTAACTGCTTTTAAGGGGGTTCGCTATTTTTCCTTTTAAAATTAAATTATTTGTGCTGGTTTCAGATGGGGTAGCGTTAATTTTGTTCCTAGCAGCTCATATGATGCTGTGTTTTGAATTTAGGATGAGAATAATGTGGTTAACATGTAGATATTTCAGTTGTTGCTGAGCAGTGCTTATGCTAAGTCAAAGCCTTTTCAGCTTCTCATGCTGCCCTGCCAGCCACTGGTAAACAGGATACAGCATGAGATGAAGTGTATACACGCATGAGGGTGCAGAGGCTAAAATGATTACATTTTTATTGTTACCATTTTTCTGTAGAAGAAAACAAAACAAAAAAAATCAACTTGCCTCCATTCTCAGACTTCTCTGAAATGCTAGATATTTTCCAACAAGCTTTCATCTGGTCTGCATTCCTGTAAGAGAAAGTTACAGGTTAGTTACAAGCATCAATTTTTAGATAATTATTTCTGTAAGTTTACACTAGTACTTTAAAAGATTATGCACATAAAAACTACATCTCTAAATGGATATTTATGAAAATGCTTGATTATTTTGTATAAGTTTGTGGAAAACTATACAAAGCAAACAAATGCACTGAACCTGAGTTTGCAGCAGAGCTCATGTGTACATGACCTCTTTATACAGATTACACTGTCCTATGCCTAGGTTGACAACTCAAAAATATTTGTCTTTGAAGGGCAAAGACAGGCCAAACACACTGGAAATGGTTTTAAAGATGAGTTTTTATGCTTGATGGTGATAGTATGAATGGGAACAATGCTGATTGCTCTCTCCTATGTGAGACTCTTGGCTGTGTAAATTTTATTCCATTTCTATTCTAATAAAACTATAGCATGCAAAAGTGGCATGTGGTTTAAGTTTATGATACACAGTTTAACTTCTGATTATATACAGGGACAGAAAAGAAAAAGGCACTGAAAAATGGGGTCTCTAAATTGATAAGACATTTCGATATTGAGCACTTTGCAGCTGTTCCATCATAGGAAAATCAACAAAATAACGCTCTGAGTGGCATGAAATGCTGACAGGTGTGAAATTGTCTTTGACATCGGCATAGCAGGAATGAAATGTTCACATAAGCAGCACAGATGATACCAGTCATTTGCCAGAGACAGAATTAAAAAACTGTTATTAAAAATAAAAATAAAAAAGCACAATGGGCCATTACCCAACCCAGTAGACCAAAAATGTAGCATGACAAACACTACAACTGTATTTATTTTTTATCAACTTGCAAAGCTTAAAATTCTAGCTTTGGGTGGTTGCTTAGTTGAAAGGCAGAATAGCTGGGATTGAACCCCTTACTCTGATGAATCTGCTGTGAAACTGTCACTAAGTGTTGAATCTTCCTAGCTAGCACTAAAGATGTTCCTGTTTTTACTTAGTTTTCACTATGAAAGTGTTTTGTGGAAGAATCCTGGACTGGGAGAAACCGATCATGTTGTGCAGGCAGGATACTGAATCTGCTCCAGTAGAAAAAGCTTAAGATGATCTGATTACAAGTTTTGATCCCTTGAAATAGAAAATCTAGAAAGATTCAGTCTTGACAGATTTTTTTTCCACTTAAAATGATTCTGTATTATCACATTGTCCAATCAACACATTTAAGAGGATCGCCTCCTGAAACATCAAAACCTGCATGATAAGTATATCAAACTTATTCTTCTTCTGAACCTTGCTTTATAGGAAGGTTAACAAAGTTTGGCATTCTTTTCTCTCTTAATCTTCACGTTTTCCTCAGTTATAAAGACCCTCTTGACCCCCTTGGAAGTAAACATCCTGGAATTAAATTACACCTGGGGGAGTAATTTAATGTTACCAAACCACAGGTGCAGTGGTTGAATTTTGGTCACCTTTCACTCATGGATGTACTTCTCTGCCTTTTCCTACCACTTATCTGAGGCTTATGTCTCACTTTCAAGTGCTGCTGTAAATGGCCTGCAGGCTTAGGAGGTGGTGGCAGGTAGCTGCGAGTCAGGTGATAATTGTGACAACTCTCGAATTGAGAGACAATGCTGCATGGCTTATAAAGTACTCTTCTATCTAGTGAGTTATCTTTTAAAACAATTTAAATCAGATGCTAACTTTTAAATTAAAATAATCAAGAAGGATAAATCTGTATGTTGCAAGGAACAATGATCAGAGGATACAAATATACTGACGTATGTGGAACCTGAGTGTGACACTAACGTTATGGAATCAGGAGTGGAAGTTGTAGTATATAAATTATGTATTTATATAATGTTTTTTTAACCATTAAGAGATTCTGGTTGCAAATCATGTTATTAAGAATAACTATGCTGTCTATTTGACCAAAAGAAAACATTAGAAATTTCATGAAGACCTGTATACAGCTGGAATGGCTTAATATAGTTTCATTTTAGTCTGTACGAATTGGCTGTGCTTGGTCTATTTTGGACCAGAAAATGTCCTATGCACATTACTAAGAGAAAAAAAATTCAACCATTTCTTCCAATAAAATATTTTAGGCTATGACCCTAATGAATACAATGAGATGAACTTGAAATAATAGAAAGAAAAGTATTAATGTTACCATTTTGCAGGTGGAAGTGACTGCATGTTTGTTACTCCTCCATCTACTGGTACTACAACCTGTACATTAGACAGCATACTAGGCACATTCATCGACTCTGGATTGTATTTATAATCCACTCTCACATCAGTAGTGCTAGCATTACATTTCCAGTAAGTTGCAAGATTCAAGGGAGTGGACTGGATGCCATTTGAAGATACCTGTAAAAAAAAAAAACAACCAAACAAAAAAACACATTGAAAGCTGCTTAATTACAATATCTACCCTTCTGGGCAGAATTATGGAATGATGGTAATGAGTATAACCATAAGTTCTGACAAAAGATCAGAAGAACAATCAACCTCTGAGCCTTTAATCTCAGAATTCTAAAGATTGTTGCAGCCTACAGTAATTGCCATTCTTTTAATTTTAAAATAAATTATTTTTAAAAGATGGTTTAGACTCTCTATGGCCCATGAGACTTTCTCCTGTTCTGCCTTTCTGCAGTCCAAATAATTTTGTTTTAGTCTTGTTCTCTAACTCACAGAAATAAGTTACCAGAGCAAACATCCTTACCAATTGTGTAAGTTCACATCAGTTCAGCTCCCCAAGCAGCAAAAGGAAATACCTGTCATTGGATAGGCAGACAGCAAAACAGTTCTTACATACTAAAAGCATTGTTTTCCTGGTGTAGGAGAGCTGGAAGCTTCTGCTTCTGTGGTTAAGATCATGCTGCTGCCCTGCTGCATACCCCTACCGCCTTCCTTATCTGCCTGAGGAACCTTCTATTTCCCTGTGCCCTATCTTGCCTTTCCTTGGCAACTCAGGGCTCTTTCCATCTGCCATGGCTACGGCATGCCAATGTCTCACTTTTCCCCAGTGGTAAAGGCCTCACAACTCCTCTTTCCACAGTGCTCATTTCTGCAATCCAAAGAACAGTTCTGTTCCTTCAATCTTAGGGTTTCTGTGAATCTTCTTCTGTTCTGTGAATCTAACATTCTTTTTATAGATTCAGCATGGCAATATTTTGAACTATACTGAGAGGATGTGGAAAACTACGCCGGTATTAATAGCTGCATTGGTAGGCCTAGGAAATCCTTGTTCTCCCGTTCAGATGAATGTGTCATTTCTGTATATTTCCATTAAGGTCTTCGGTTGACAGTGAGAACATCCCACAGAATCACAGAGTGGATGCAGTTGGAGAGGACCTCTGGAGGTCATCTGGTCCAACGCCCTGCTCAAACAGGGCCACCAAGAGTCAGTAAGACCAGGACCATGTCCAGACAGATTTGCAGTATCTCCACGGAGGAAGACTCCACAGCCTCTCTGGGCAATTCATGCCACTGCTTGGTCACCCTCACAGTAAGAGGGTTTCCCAATGTTCAGGTGACACCTCCTGTGCTTTCAGTTTGTTTCCACTGCCTCTTGTCCTGTCACTGGGCACCACTAAAAAGAGCCTGTCTCCATCCTCTTTGCACTCTCCCTTCAGGTGTTTGTAGACATTGATAAGATCTCCCCCACCCCCATCTTCTGTAGGCTGAAGAATGAATCCCAGCTGTCTCAGCCTTTTGTCACAGGAGAGATCCTCCAAGTCCCTTCTTTGAGCCATCTTTGTGGCCCTTTGCTGGACTCTCAAGTGCATGCATGTCCCTCTTATACTGAGGAGCCCAGAACCAGACTCTGGCTGTGGCCTCACCAGCTCACCAGGGAAGGATCACCTCACTCAAGCTGCTGGCTACAGTCCTCCAAATGCAACCCAGGATACCATCAGCCTTCTTTTCTGCAAGGCATGCTGCTGGCTCATGCTCAGCTGTGTCCACCAAGATCCCTGTTTTTTTTTCCAACAAACTGCTTTCCAGCTGGGTAGCTCCATCATGTCCTGGTGCCTGGGGTTATTTCCCTCCCAGGTGCAGGATTTTGCACTTCTCTGTTAAACTTCATGAGGTTCCTGTCATCCCTTTTCTTCAGCCAGCTGCTCTAAATGGCAGCACAACCCTTTGACCTATTAGCCACTCCTTCCAGCTTTGTGTCATCTGCAAACTTGCGACAGCAAAATCTTCCCCATCCTCCAGATCATGAATGAAGATCTAAAGCAAGGCTGGTCCAGTAGTGACCCCTGGGATACTCCAACTGGACTTTGCACTACAGATAACCACCTTTGGGGCCTGGCTGTTAGCCAGTTTTCGAACCACCTTACTGTCTGCTCATCCAGCTCCTCCATGATGATCTTAAGGGAGACTACTGAAGTCCAGGCGGACCATATCTACTGTTCTTTCCTCATCTACTAAGCCAGCTGTTTCATCACAGAAGGCTATCAAGTAAGGGGAAGCATGACTTCCCCTTACTGAATCCATACTGACTACTCCTGATGACTTTCTTGTCCTCTGTGTGCCTAGAATGGTTTCCAGGAGAAGTTGTTCCATATTTTCTGAGGGGTCAGAACATCACTCGCTCTCTTATATTACACCTGATCAGCTACAGCATCCAAAATTAATTAATTACAAAAGCAAATCAATTGAATTACAAACTCAAACAAACAAATACCTGAAAAATGCCTAAATTAATGGAAAACTTAAGACTTTGCTAACAAGTACCTAAAGAAACAGTGTTCAAAGTTTTCACACTTGGAGTAAGGTGTGAGCGAGCTGAAACACGTCATGAATTCAAGGGAATCCAAGGGAATGACATGAAGGCATAACAGCAATGCACTCAGCCTGGGCAGACCCTATGGATTGGAAACAGTGACATATCCAGAATTGATATGGATGCAGGGTGACAGTTCATCTGTATGCTATCAGGCAAAGAACAACTCTTATAAATTCTGTGTAGATTAGACATCAGCCAGAGTTCATTAAAAAATTCCAAAGGGAAAAATGTGTTTACCTGATACTTTAAAACATCCACATTATAATAGGATGCAGATGGATTCTGCTCTGATAACTTCTTGAGGTAGACAGTTATAGCTTGCATGTTCATCCAAAAATCCCTAGTACTGGAATCACTTTGCGACTGATCACTACAAAGAAAAAGAAAGGTAGGACTGAGAATGCAACACTGAGTGTTCTTTTTGGGATGTCTGATAATTAAGACTTGATCCTTTCCCTTCGTCAAGCAAGAGTTTGTTATAATGCTTTATGACACATAATTATACCTTTTTAATATTAAGGAAAACTATCAGCTTGTTGTATCTAGTAAAATTATCCTTCCATTCAAGGAACAGTGAGTTTTCAGCACTGACAACTGACACCACAAGATTTAATTTGGGATTTTATATTTAATAAACTCAATATTATCAGGTGCCATGAGGATGTGCATGAGGTCGGGATACAAAGAGTCATTGAAAAGGAATGGTATCCAATTTGGAGTTAGACCTAAAATCATAATTAAGTTTGGTTATATTATAGCATCACTAAGATTTCTGCTATACGTGTGTTACTATACTTTCACATCTGCAGAAAGCATAAGCTTTCTAATTTTTTCCACTAAAAACAATTTTCAATTATAAAGAATTGCCTTTTAGGTACTTATAGTTACATTTAATCTATGAAGTAATTTATTATTCAACTCTCTATGTAGTTAAGAGCAAACAGGACTGCACAATCAAAATGCTGGTCTGGAGCTACTGGAGCATGAAAAGCTGTTTTGAAGGTCAAGAATATTTTCAGTTCTGGTTGCATCATGTTTATTTTGAATAAGGATGAAATTTTTAAGAATACTGATTCAGAAACAAAATACAAATCATTTATCAATCAAAAAGCTTCTCTGAAGCTCTGTGGATACAGTGAGGACCTGCATCCATTTGCTAAGCAGGCCTGCAGAATGTGTGTGCAAAGCAAAAGCTAAAAATGCGCATCTGGACCACAGTAAATATTACTGCAATGGTTTGAATCTAATCACACTATCTGTTCGGACTTTGATTCTCAAAATAGTATTGTAATTCATGCTGCATCCATTTTTAGTAAAATATGGATGAACACTTACTTTTCATGTCAAAAAGCAGCAAATACATTTTTTACACTGAAACATTACGTATGAACAATCACAATGAAATTAAATGTGAAAGAATGGATGCATATGTTTTGTTTCAATTATTTCAGTAATTTTTAAAAATGTACCATCTAGAAGTGATTAACAGGTTTTCAAATAATTTCTCCTCTAAATGGAACAAATAATTACAGCTTTTACAAAATGTCCTTTTTTTTTTTTGAAAAGAAGTCAAAATGCTGTGAACAATTATTCTACTCAATCACCAGCCTTTTTTCTTAAGAATTCTCCAAAGCATGCTGCTATACACTTGATATATATATAGTCACATAATGACTTGAATATATTGTAGAAACAATACAGCTTAAAAATACAGTATTAACCAACAAATGATGTTAGGCATACCTCCTACTATTTGTCTTCCACTTAAAGCCACTGTTTCATCATTTAATCATACCACTGTTACTACATAAATAAATTTGTATGACAATATAAGAATTTCTTAGTTTTGATATGTAATTTTTCTTTATATCTTTTTTCTTCATAACTAGTTAGATGGTTCATATAGTTTGATTGGGAAAAAATATTTTTTTCAAATAGTTTGTTAAACCATTTCATGTATAAAACACATGCAAAAACATAGCTACCTTTGCAAAGTACTTCTTATGGCTCTTGTTTTATTTAGCATAAGTTTCAGTACCTGACTGAGATTTTTAACGGTGGCAGTAGAAAGAAACTGAGCTAAACAAAATTAGTTCATATAATTAAACTATGTTTAAGCAAATCAACAAGATGGCAGAGAACTCCAATTTATGTATAAAACAAGCGGAATTTTAGAAATCACATAGTTTACTATTATATTAAAAAAAAATACAAAACCTGTATACAAGTTGTGCATTTGGAAGAATCTGCTCTAGTTTGCTTGTGTTTTTTACCCTGAAGCAGAGCACAGCTGGAGATGGGTTGCTGGTGAAGACTTTAATAATCCCACTTGGGAATGATACTGTCATATCACCAGTGATCTTCACAATACATCTAGGAGAATGAAAACATCAGTTTTATTGCAACTCATTAACTACATGGTTTTAATTACTGATTTTAAAACAATCACTGTACTTGCACAATCTGATGAGCTGAATTCAAAACAGAAAGTCAATTTTAAATGAGGGTAATGTGGCACTGTAACAATGTACCATCACTTTCAACTTGGAAGTCAGATGAAAGTGAAGAAAAAAGTGTAGCTGGTTAAGCATACAGTAGTCTTGGTGGATATTATTAAGGCTTTGAAAACATGGCACAACTATGCTTAGGCAAGGCCTACTAGCATAGCAAGGGATGTGACAGGGTGAATGAGGTGCTTTATAGAGCTGCACAAATTTACTTGTAGCACCTGGCTGACTATGATAAAAACCTTTCTCATTTTCAATATTTTCACTTAACTTACTTTTGTACAGCAGGGATATATGAGCTCCTAGCAGGATGCAGGACAACAGAGAGCAAAGAGCCACTGTTGTCACTTACACTTGGGGAAAAAAAAAAAAAGTGAAACCCCCTTCTAATGCACATACATTTTCCCCAAAACATTACAAGTATAAACATTGTGGGTTTTTTTTGTTTTTTGTTTTTTTTTAATTGTAACTTATTACATTCAAAACAATTCACTATTTAACTAACTTTGTGGGATCTGCTCCTTTAAAGTAGGCGTTAACAGATTCAGTAAGGGCTACTGCAACAGGCAAGGTGTCCTGGTTTCCAAGGCTGACAGGGCTGGGACCACGTGAAACACCTAGAATACATATAGTGTATAGGTTTAATTTATAAAAGCTTAGCAATAGATTTCAGAATGGTTGACTGTATCTGTCATTTTTACAAGACGTTACTACCATCAAGGTCACAGTAGGGCCTGAAGTAGTACTTGAACAGTTATTAGAAAAATATAAACATAGTACAGTACAATCACACCACCAAAACACTGCTTAGCAGCCTAAGAAAACAGGACTATCAATATGACACGTTGTACATGGACAGACGCAAGGAAATACATATGAGCTAGAGGAATGCTGCATTAAAATGGCTAATGATAACACTAAAGTCAACAGATCCAAAGGACATTGGACATTAACTACAATACTTAAAAAACAACAACAACAACAACCCCTACTGTATGCTTGTTGCATGGAAAAATGTATGATAAAATGGTCAGGGAAATGCAAAGAATTCAGCTACAGTATATATGAACTTAAATGCATATACATTTATATTACTCTACATAAGTGAACTTTTAATGACTTCAGTCAACAAAGGTTAAAAGTTCCAAGCAGAAATTGCTGGAGAAATATTTTGCTATGTTTTCAATTGTTTTTGTAGTAAGGGTTCTGGGAATACCTTGGAGGTACTTGGAAATACACAGCAGTTTGCAAGAAAAATAATTATCAGGCTTGCATCAGCCTTCATAGGTGCTTGTGCATACACAACAGCATTAAAATGCATAGCTACAAAAATCAACTCAGACCTCATGCTATGGCTTTTTAAAATCCATACAACTGAAAAAAAATGGTTGTCATGGGATATTACTTTTATCAGTGTTTTCCAGTGTGTGGCCAGCTACTTAACATAATCCACAATACTGGAACTTTCATCTTTTTTTTATTACTGCAGCTGCATAGTAGAGAGCATCTCTCTAACTTTTTGTACCACTGCTGGAATGGTTTATATCACATAATATATCTATCATAAAGGAGGTACAGTCTTTCTCATGTCATAAGCAAAACGAGAAACTTGAATTTCCTACCATGAAGTAGACAGAAAATGCTTCTGTATAACATTGCTAATGGCAACTAATCTCCTATTTACTTTAAAATAGCAGCTGTACCTTCTGGGCTCTTTCATAAAGAAAAAGGAATTTGAGACCTTGTTCTTCACAGAAGGTCTACTATGTGATTTTATGCTTAAATACAGAGATAAGAGAAAGAAGTATTAACAACAGAACAGTGAAAGACATGAGAGTTGGTCTAATTCTGCTGCTTTCATACCTTGCCCTCCGTCATGATTTCTTGCCTGAGGTATAAAAATGTTCAGAATACTTCTCCATGCTATGAGAAGTATTACTGCAAACTTTAGGCTCTCTTAGATGTATAGTACTGCTCTAGTCACAAGTGTTCAAAAAGAAAAGATTCTTCAATGAAAGAAATGTCATGATGCTGTTTTGTTTGTTTGTTTTAAAATATAAACAGTAGATCATTTTTATTTGTTCTTTACACATAGATCCAGTTTCCAGTGCTGTGTTTCTCTCCATGGAAGCTAGCAATAAAAGCTGTAATTTTCAGTAGTCTTGGGAATGCAGAAATAATGACTTAAAAAAACAAATTGGCATTAAAATTCTGTATTAACAACCAGACCCATTCACAAAATTCTGTCTGATGAAATGTCGAACTCCAGAAGTATTCTCCACCTAAGTCAAAGTATGCACTTGATGGAACAACAAACAACTGCAAAACCCATAAGAGGATTTTATGTCATATTATGTCGGATTATCTACAGATTTATAAATTGTATCTAAATCTTTTCTTTATAAAAGTGTTGCAGGTATCTTTAGAGCGAAATTTTAAAATCAAGAGTAATGTGAATACATAAATTATATTCCTATCAGCAAAAGACAAACATTGATTTCTTCACCAAACAGGGAAATTTATTAGTAACAACAAGGCTACTTTACACTTTTCTGGTAATACCAAAGCAAACAAACATATGTATAAGCATTTCTCTGAGGTGTGTCTTAGGGACTACGACTTATTTCCACAGTTCTCAATCTTCATCGCCCTTTATGATTCATGAAATCGAAGCATTCTCCTTAAAAACTATGAAGTGAAACATATTAAACTGTCTAACCAAACACTAAATGTGATTGTTTTGTTGCCTTGCAGCTGAAAATATAAGCCTAACAATACAATGCACCACTATCCTGCATCGTGGCATTCCATGTCTGCTGCACCTTTTCAGAGGGACAGGATGACACAGAGCTGTGCCAAGGTGGACTTGCTGCATCTCAGACTGCAGCACAGCTCAAGGGTCCAGTTGCAGGATGTTCTGCAGCACCTGCATAGCTGGCTTTGATGTCCTGATCACCGTTAACAGCACGTCAGCTGTGCTGACACACAGTGACACTGACACTGTTGAGGAGGGTGGCAAACTGCTGAATAAAAGCTTGTATTATTGGTCATAAAAAGGCTAAATAAATAACTCAACCAAAGGGTTTCAGTTCAATTCAGAAATAAAGACTCAGGTGATTTTAACATTGGCTAAGCTGTTTTGGTGAAAAAAATATATATATATTTTAAAAGACTATCTTTACTATCTGTATCTTCAAAGCTTCGTATTATATGAATATAAAAAAATGTTTTTACCTACTTGTCTTATGAGAATAAGGACTGTCAGAGTAAGAATGTATTCCCCTTTTTTGAATAAAAGCAGTAAAGCAAAACTAAAGAAGTGAGACCAGGTGTCAGCATGTTTGGAGAAACAGATAGAAGACTATGCTGCAAAGAAGTGGTTAAATAAGTTTTGATGATTTTGGTAACATACAACACATTAAGAAGTTGTACTTTCAAGCTATTTGTATCTGCCAGACACCAGAAATAGCTGGAGAAACTTGTTCCAAAAGAAATACAATTTTATTAGGTGCAGTGCATTAGAACGATTAGTTAACATGTAAGTCTGCTTCTAATACAATACCTGGTGGTGCGTCACAAAGCCTTTCTATTGGATGAAGTGTTCCAATCAAAAGATCATCCTCTATTACATTTAAATGAAACAAGACATTGCAAGAAAACAAAGTATTTCAAGCAAAAACATATGATAATATAATATATATATAAATTCTTTTCAAATGAAAATAAGGCTAAAGCATAAAAGAAACATACAATTAGGCACACCTACAAGTTCACATGGAACAAGACAAGAGTCAGCTCTCCATTTTGCGGAACAAATAGGGTGAGGAAAACACTAGATTGTGCAAAAGCCAAAAGACTACAGACAGTAGTGCAGAGTATCCTCATGCCCCAAAGTCATTCTGCCACCTGCACTGCCCTTCCCATCTCTCCAGGTCTATTTAATTCAAACACACAGTGCAGTGAACTGGCCCTGTTCATTTTTGGTAGGCCAGGTTAACAACCATGTCAAATCTCTGTGGCAGCACACACCTCCTTACCTTCTTCCTCACACACACATGCATACACAGAGAGCTGGAGCTATTGATGCTGCTGCCACCAACTTCTAGTTCCTTGGGACCAGTGCTGAGGCCTGGGGAAGTGAGCCTGGATGGACTTTGACAATCAAAATATCAGTTATCTTTCTATGATGATTCTCAGGGTTTGGGAAAATGGTAGACACTGAACTGTGCCACCACCACAGCAGCTAAAGCTGGTCAGACCTTACTAGCCTACGTCTTACACAGTGAGGAAACAGCTGCATTGCTTTCCATATGGAACTACCCTCTAGAAGCTGTGCAGATACTCTCCTGAAATGCTGAGCCTGGCTGAGAAATTCTTAGCATCAGTACCAGTCAGAGACAACTGAGTGTTAACTCAGAGTTTAATTCACTTTGAACAAAGTGGTAATAGTGTTCAGAAATGAAATATTATGCTTCTGCTAACAAAACAAGTTAGAACATCTTTAAAAAAAACAACAAAAAAAGCAAACAAAACACCTCAGAAGTCTCCTTACTATTTGTTAAAACCAAATATAAAAATTGAGGACTTCCCTTTAAAAACATGAGAAAATCTTCTGAAACTTGTGACAGCATGTGGAAAATAATTTGACTTTTTTTTATTGTTCTTTTGTTTTTACCAACTAGCTCTGCTTAGTTAAAATACTGCAATAACTTGAAGATGCATTTTTTTTGAAACTGCAATTACAGAATAACAAACAAAATAAAAATAACATAACTCTGTTTTGAATATTTATATTCATTCAAATTTATCAGTATCCTGAAGTATTTCTGTACCTGTAAAATAACATAGTCCAAACAAGTGCACAGTAACATATTGTGCTCGATGAACGCATATACAACCACACCGAATATGAATTCACTGAATATTTTAACTTTGAAAAGTATTTCACTAAAGAACACGCCATAATTGCATCAATGGCCTAATCTAATCAAATCCACTCTCCTGGCAGGACAGAACACTGTCCTGTCTCAGTATCACTTAGCAGCAGATATTTCAAAAGATGCTTGAAATACCTACACTAGACTTATGTGTGGAACAACTAACTCCAAGGAATGGTTTTCCTAAGAGGTGAAACTTAGTGGTGGAATTATACCACTGTTAAGTTAATATGGTTAATTTAACTTACCAACTGTAGGTGTGTTTGCTGCACTGAGGGAAGCAGAAGAAGATATTGAGGAGATGCTCTCAGCACGTGCCAAGGGAGCTGCAGGTGGTGGACTTGAGTTAGAGGTCAATGGAGGGCTGAATGGCCTAGGCTGAACACAAGAGTTCACAGGAGTATTAAATAGACAAAGTGATTTTAAAAACAAAAAATACTGTAAATGGAGGAGTTTTTCTATTTCTCCAGCTGGGTAATGTATCTTCCCCAATACATTTCAAAGTATTTCTTATTTCTTTTAATACTTTATCTATCCTAGTTTTCGGTATAGAACACACATTTTCCTTGGAAATCAACAGAGAACACACATTTTCCTTGGAAATCAACTCTACTATTTCATAGACTATTGATACTGGTTTTTTTTGCAGCAGAATTTAAGCCTACAGCCCTGTGCATGTGTGCACCAAATGCAGATTTGCACAGCTAAAGGAGAACTACTAGCAATCTGGAAGCAAGTCCAGCATAAGGCAACTAAAATAGCTGGGGTCTGGGGAACATAAGAGAGAGTAAGAGCTGAAGGACCTAAGTTTGCCCAAGCCTGGAGAAAAGAAGCCTAAGGAGGGATCTACTAGAATCGCTTGCCAGCTAAAAGGTGTCACATTCTTCTCAGATGTGCAAAGAGCTATAGCAAAGGAACTTCTGTTGAATGTATGGGAAGAAGTTCCTTCTGATAAGCTGGGACAGCTTGCCCAAAGAGGTTTTGAGATCTCCCTCCTTGGAAACTTTCAAAAGTTGACATGTCCCTGAACAAATTGATTCAATTTTGAAGTTGGACCTTCTTTGGACAGGAAGTTGTCATAAAGATCTTCAGAAGTCCCATCTACCCAAAAACTTTGAATGGCTTTGTAAATCACTTGACTGTAAAAGCATCAGTTTAAACTAACCAATGATCACTTGGGGATTAACCTATCTAAAAGGTACTGAAACTCCTGAAACATCTATTTGTGTGGGCAATGGTTATTTTATTTCAGTTCTATCACTCTTGTCAGTGAGTGTATGACTTTTATACAGACTGTGGGAGTTGTAACAGTACATGACATATAATGAAGACAACTCAGTCTTCCACTTGTACAGAGATAATAGCTGATTTCTAAAACAACAGTATAAAATGAATGTAACTTTAATCAGAATCATACTTTATAACAGAACGCTATCAGCTAAATTCACTTCAATTTGGATGATAAGAAGAGCAGATTCCTTTGCCTAAGAGCAATTACTACAGTTTTATATTGGAATGAGAAAACAATCTCAAAATAGACCTTACAATATTACAGAATAGCAAAATAGTTAAAAATGTTTCCGTTTTGTGAACACGTAGGATCAGAATTTTGTCTATAGTGAGATGGTGAATGTATCTTGCTATTTTGAAAGACAGGAAGAGGATATTACCACAGTCACATTCTTTCAAGTCACTAAGTCAAACAAAACCCAAGGAATTATAATATTCGTAGAAAAGATATTAAGCATGGCTTGGTTTGATATGCTGCCTGAGTACTTGCATTCTTCGCCAAAATCTTTATTGGCAGGTGGACATGCACTGCAGGCAGTGAGCAGAGATGACCTCTCACTATCCTGATGGGCAGCTGCTGCAATCTGCCACCTCCCTTCACCAACAACAAGCACCAAGGACAGGGTGAAGTCACAGCATGGCTACTTGTGTCAGCACACAACTGATAGTGATCTACTTAATGCCACTCATTCCCCAGAGCTTTGGTGATATTCCTAAATCAATGGAGCTTTACTAACGACTTTGCTAGAGTTTCATATTTTGAATACCTTAATCCCACAAACATACTATCTTTGCATTTTCAAACTTTTTATTTATTCACTTAAAAACAATTGGCTGATGCAAAAAATATGTTTTAGGCCTTTCTAATTCAATTAAAAATTATTTTTATTATAATGTTTACCGCAAACAACTTCCATGCCTATTTGGCAATGGTGAAAATGGAAGGTAACTTCACTGTGACAGTGTAAATTAATGGTATATCTGACACTGAGTTATAAAAGAGAATTTAAAAAAATCAATACATACTATTTCATTAATACCACTAAGTTTCCCTGTAGACAACTTTGGTCTTGAGGCAGGCCTTGGTGGGGGTACAATGGTGCCTACAGAAAGAGGAGTTGTGGGTCTTGCTGAAAGAAAGCAAATTTAAGGAAATCAATATTAGAAAGGTCACATTGAACATAAATACGTACACACTTGAATAAATAAATGCAAGTTATGTTTCTATTCAAAGTCCCTACTTTGCAAGTTCCATTTTGTAAGATTTACCACTAATCAAAAATGCTTTTAAAATATGGCTATACGATGCCCTGAAAAGTGACTCTAAAAATGGCATCATGGGCTTTCTCATTGCTCTCAAATGACTTTATATCAACTATTCCTGGAGGTTTATAGGTAAAAAGATGGTCTTCCCTGAGCTCCTTTTTGAGTGTAATCTAAATGGATTCAGAAAACAGGGCAATCGTTCATGCCTCACCATAAATGGAAAATTCAGTGGAAATTCGTATTTGGTCCTGGCTGACAATGGGGCAACTGTTTGCTTAAAATTATGCTCTTTGAAATCATATTGACTCCAATATGTAAATGCCAGTGCAAAAAATATAATTCAGTAAATTACACTGGCGTTTGCAAGAACACAGTAACTCCTTATTATCTCTTAGCTGACCCTGTCAGAACTAAAAAGTGATTAAAAATATTGCCCCCATGTCCTTCTAACAGATGCAACTAACAGACGGTGGCAGCAGTACAAAGATGCCACTTTTACACAGTCACTTTTCTGAATAGAACTGCATTTCAAAATAAATGTTAAATGCCATCGAATGAGTATGCCCCATCTAAAATTAACTTCAAAATAGAATGAAACCCTTATACATAGTTACATTTCCAGTACTTCGTCTCCCTCAAATTATTCTGGATGGTTCTTTCTTAAATAATTAAGTTAATGTTATATAAAACACAACTTCAAGCATGGAATTTTCTCAGTCATTCAGCATAACTCTACCATCATTGAAGTATGGGAGTTTCATTGCTGACTTGGAAGAAATCAGGCTAATACTGACCACATACACCTTAAAAGTTGCAAACCGAAATGTCCCCAAACAAATTCAATTCTGAAATATCAGTAGTTCCTTTAAAATTCTTGTTGTGCCCAAGGAAGGCAGTGAATACCGAACACTGAGTAGTCTGCTGCAGTATCAAAGGTATTCAGTGAAACACAGCACACTTGCCCAAATGCTCTTTCCTATTGCCCTCTTAATAGCATTACCACAACATTATACACGCTTCAAAATAACAAGTATGAAAAAAGTACTATTCTTATTCCAATGTATTTATTTAATCTGAAATTATATACAAAGCTGGTTCAGAATGCATCTGATTAAGAATGGAATTGTTTTTGCAAATTAAATCATTTAATCTTTGAGACTTCCCTGCTCTCTGACATCACAGGTAAGTACATTCACATTTCTAGAAAAGCTAAGCTTCATGTAGTTAAGAAAAAGCAATGCCTTTAATTGAATAATTCGAATTTTTCTTATGATGTCAAGCTGAACATTTATTTTGATGTCCTAACTTTCAAGGAAGTTGGTGCTAACAAGCAGTTTGTTTAGTACATTTTAAGTTAAGAAGACAAAGTTAATTTTAACATCGGGTGAGCAAGAATAATGAAATGAAAAATCAGTCCAAAGCTTTGGAGTCAGTTATTAGCAAAGAGCAGTACACAATGCATGCTTGTCATACCCTTAATTGTATGAACACAAGGAGACACTAAACTATATTCCAGTAGTGCTGAAGATGATGTGGAAGAAATTTCAGCAGCAGTGCCAGTTTCTTCAATGAATAATTGTTCATGGCATATACCATTATTTGAAAGGTCACTTTGATCCTCAGAAGCACAGCTGTTGGAAGAATTCCCAAGCAAAGCAGAAGAGGCAAGGCAGGCATTTTCAGTTGTGAATGGCAATTTTGGGGGCTCCTTCTTGTCTGTGCTTGTGTCTCTACTTGTAAGAAGTTCATCAGCAAAGGAAATCCACTGACTCAGAGACCATGAAACAGAGGATAAAGTACTCCCTGATGGTGCTTCTGTAACACCAGATTTGCACAAAGTGCTAATGGTAAAGTCTGGTGAGGATGGGCTTCTAGACCCAGAATCTGTCTGGTGTCCAAGCAAAGACTGAGATACTCTACACCCAGGCAAATCATTGGTAGATGAAGAGCAACTCCTATTGTGCTCTCTTAGAGTAGCTGAAGAAAAAGGGAAGAATTGAAACTAGAGGCAACACTGAAATGATAAAAATTTCAATATAAATCTCAATATAAATCCAGACTTAAAAGGTGTATTCAATAATCATTGCATGATGATTACTAGCCAGCATGAAGAAAAAAACGAAAACTAAACTGTTCTACTAGGTTAAAAATCCCACTACTTACAATTAAAGGAAAAACAACAACAACAACAAAAAAACAGCCACATATCATAGGTACTTTGTTCATACTTTCAGCCAGGTCACTTTCCATTTGTTAAATAGGCCAATAAGTAATTTATGGTGTTTTTCTCCTCTTAAGACCTTTATTCTCATGACTTTGCTTATTCCTCTGACTTCTTCTTTATTGCGGTTTAACTTCCTCTTGACTTTTTCTTTTATTTTTGGTATCCTAATCCATTTTTATTTCTTCTCCACAGCATTTCTTTCAAAGTTATTTAATCAAGCCTATCCTTCTATGTACCTTCTAAATCCTCCATGCTTGTAATGGAAAGGCCTAACACAAATGGCTGCTCAGTAAATGAATGAAGACAATGATGTCATGAGATCCTGTTTAATATTTTTGTCTGTATTCTAGTGAGTGACTGCATGCATGAGGCATCAGCTGCCTCAGTTTATTTTTGCTCTCATCCCAGAGTCTTTGGGGTGCTGGAAAATGGGAGTTTCCCACAAGTATTCCCTGCACTTGGCTGTTGCCTGTTGCAGTAGATGACAACAGAAGCAGCAAATGCAAGGTTAGTCAACTCTCAACATCTTGCAGATTGGCAAAGCTAAGAGCAACAGCAGAGTGGCATAGAGAATTAAAGAGAGCAACACATTTGAAAGTTCACGTCAGAAGTGTAAGTCACTACAGCTATCTTTCTGTCGTGAACAAGTACATTCCCTGAGACCAAATAGAGACCTAACACAGCTCTCCCTTTCTAACAGATATTTAAAATACCATTCAAAGACTTTGAAATACTACTACAAATCCTATACAAAAGCAATGTGGAAATGCTATTTTAAAAATACCTGTTTATGAAAATGGGGAAGATAAACAAAAAGCATTTTTACAGTATCAACAACTCACTAAAAACGTCTGTTTTGTTTGTTTAAGATAACAAAGTTAGTTTAAACATCTAATAAAACAGGACTATTCACGGATGACCAGAGTTTACCTCTATTCTGCATAAACCAATGCCTGCTCAAATACCACAGTGGTTTAGGTGTTCAATGATTAACAGAGTTACAAAACAGTATCTAATGAAATGTTTTAACAGTAAAAAAAGTATCCATGGGACACGCTAGATCATATTTACATATTCTGTATACAAAATAAGTAAATAATTATATATATTTTAATATTTTTTTCAAAAGTTCTGAGCATCTTGTCTTATAAGCTTATCTTATTAACATTCAAGATGAAGATAACACTGATTTCCATAGGTCTCAAAATAGGTTCAGATCAAAGTATGTATTTTTTGAGGTCTTCAGAACTAAGATGCAGGTAAATGAACATCAGAAGCTAATTTGATTTAAACAACAATATGAACTACTGCAATTAAGTAAAAAATTTCCCAAAGGTACTACTAATTTGATAACACTTTAGCACGCTCACTTGCTATTTAACTCCATGGATGATTTCACTAATGTAAATACCATACTTAATTCCTTGAACAACAATCCTTTAAATAATTATTCATCAGATAAAATTTGCAAAGGCAAAATATGTAGATAGTTAGATATTCTCATATCTAAAACAGACTTTCATATCTAAAATTGACTTCCACCCATGAGGCATTATATTTCAACAATTTCAATCAAACATAGGGCTCTGTGCCTAAGCACTTTCATGTACCAGGCCAGGTGCAGATGAATCCTCCTGAAGTCTGGCTACTGATCCCAGTGATCTGTCACTACTCATCAGCCAGAGGCTACTCTCTCCAGTTCAGTTGACAGGAAGGACTGTGTGAACATTTCCTAACCTGCTTTACCCTCCTACTGATGGGTAGCAATAAATATCTGATTGCAGACAGAGCTTCAGATGGTGAATGTGGCCCTCCAAGTCCCACGCTGCAGGCAGTGCCTGTGGCCTCTCTCTGATGCCAGGACAGATGATCCCCTGGTCCTACAGGACAGCTGCAGTGCTGTCTTAGAGGAGCTATGCCACCAAGTGGAGGAGACACAGGAGGGAATGAGCAGGCTGTGCAGCATACGAGAATATGAAAGGGAGACAGATCTTCTCTGAGACACAACAGCTTGAAGAGCCTCAGACCCCAACCACAGTAGAGAAGCAGGCAGTGTCCACCCCCACTATTAAAGTAAGCACAACCTCTAGAGAAGGGGAAGGATGAAAGCTGGTGACTTCTGGCACCAAGTGGAAGGCTTTTGCCCCTTCCAAGAGCTTACAGCTACAGAGGAGGTTCACTGCCCTTGCAGTTGAAGAGAAGCCAGATGGACGTTAAAGCAGTGAACGTGGCCCACCTGATCCTACACCATGCAAGAACTCCTGGAAGAAATGGTAAATCACTATAACAGGTGACTGACTCCCTGCTGCAAGCAACAAAGGCACACATCTGCTGACCTGAGATACCAACTAGAGAGGTTTGCTGCCTGCTGGAGGCCTGGATCTGGGATACGGCAGAGGGACTGCTGAAGATGGTTCAACCCACTGACTACTATCCCCTGCAGTTCTTCCATGTGGTGCATAAATGATACTGCTAGGTGAAATATGGACAGTATCAAAAACATCTACAGAGCTCTGAAGGCAGTAGTCAAAAGCACAGGGGCCCGTGTGGTATTCCACTCAATCATGCTGGTGAGGGGAAAGGGTGTCAGAAGGGCACTAACAGGACACATCAATATTTGACAGCTGGTGACAGTGTTGCAGGTTCTTTGGCCATGGTACCTTGCTTACAGATCAGCTACTGCTTGGGAGACACTGGATCCATCTCACTACATGGCACAAAGACATTTTTACCAATAGGATGGCTGGCCTAATAAGGATGATGAGGGACTAAATCATCATCCTTATCCACAATCATCATGTGACTGGAACAGATTACAAAAATCAACAAAATGGGGCTTAAGAAGGGTCATCTCCATCACTTGCATGTAAGCAAGGAAATGCCTACAAGGAACCATTACAGACAGATTGCTGAAAACCTTTCTAGAAACTCCACATGCTGGGACAGCTTTCTGAAATGCCTGTAAACTAATAAACATGGTATGAGGAATATACACAATGAATTAGAAATCAGCATGGATTTGTAGGGCTATGAACTTGCTGGATAGCAGTGGGACAGCTCCTATGACTGAAGTAGGAGTCAGGGATAGAGTATGGGCAGGGATACCACCTGCTAGGTCAGGCTGCCCAGGGCCTTGTCCAACCTGGCTTTGAACACCCCCAGGGCTGGGGCATCTACAACTTCTCTGGGAAACACGTTCCAGTGCCTCACCATCCTCTGAGTGAAGAATTTTCTCCTAACCTCTTATCTAACTCTCCCCTCTTTAAGTTGCTTTTAAAAACATCCCCCCTTGTCCTGTGATTGTTTGCCTGAGCAAAAAGTTGTTCTCCATCTTTTTTTTACAAGCCCCCTGTAAGTATTGAAAAGATGCAATGAACTCTCCCTAGAGCCTTCTCTTATTCAAGCTGAATACCTCCAGCTTTCTCAGCCTTTCTTCATAGGAGAGGTGCTCCAGCACTCAGACCAGATTCTTAGCCTTCCTCTGGGCCCTCTTCAATAGATCAAGATCCTTCTTGTGATGGGGACCCCGGACATGGACACTAACAACCACTAGCAGAACAAACTAAGTATCCTCTCCCTTCCTTTACAGACTTCAACGCCAGACCAAAGCAATACTATGCTACAAAAAAACAGATTACTTTGAGAAAACGCAACTTCTTTTCAGCATATTTATTTCATATATATAAAATTCACCTGCTCTCAGGTGGTGCCACAAACTTCCCCCTTGTTTCAGTCTTAGTCCTGCCATTCTTCTCCCACTTCCCCTGGATTCTGCCCACACATCTCCTAATAGAATCACGGTTTACTATAGAAAGCAGGTTCATTACTGCAAAGTTCTGGAGTGGCTTTATAGTATACAGCTCAGCAGGCTTCCCTGGAAAGAAGCAACCCATCCCTATTCACAGTGCAAGCTCAGCTTGGGTCACAGTTGTTCAACAACCTCCATTTCGTCTCTCAACCCTACCAGCTGAAAAAATAGATTACATTAGTCCTCCAGAATAGGTTGTCATTTTTTGGAAAGGGAGAAAAGGAGATAAAAACAAAAGCAAGAGGGAATTTTCCTAAGGTTTCTTGTGTTCTCTCTTCCCACTTGCTCCCTAGCCTGAAAGCCTGACATACTACATTATTGGCGTGTATTACTTATAACATACGACACTGCTTTTAAAAGTTCTTTCACTTCCGTATCTATGCACATTCCCTTGCAATGACTAAAAAAGCAACAACAGAAGACCCTGAAGAATATGCAGAAAACATTTTTTACTATAAAATATGTTACCTGAGGAGGATGAGGATGCCAAGGAGGCTGAAGAGGATGATTCAAGAGAACTGCTGAAGAGTGGATCCCATGCCAGAAGGTCACTGTTCCCCTTTCTACAGTAAGAGTTACAATAGGAATGTAAGTGAAAGGCATATATACTTATAAAAAAAATCAAATTACAACTTGGGTAGTTCATCTTCTACATTAGTTAGTCCTTGCATCTAAAAATAAAAAAATACTTACAAATTGTAGGTCAAGGAACTCACACATAAGTAAACTATCTGAACTGATTGCTTTATCACCCTGGTGCCAGTTTGTGTTTGGGCATATATCATTATGTTAGTACTTATCCTCATTTTCAGTAAGAATTATATTTACAAACTGATTTGTTTCATCAAACATATATATGAACAATGAATATATACCTATATAAATCTAGGGCTTGTGAAATGGAAACTAACCTTGGCAGTTTAAACATGAGTTTTTAATAAAAAACAGTATTTAGTGATTATGTAATTTTAAATATCAGTTGAGACATCACAACAAAGCAACTGCATTAGGAGGGCAAAAACAAGTGAACAGGAATCATTACAAGATTAGTCTTTAACTCATACCACACAAGATATGCTTAAAACAGCAGTTAATGTTTCCAATGAGTTTCTAAGTATTGGATCAAAATAAGAACAAATTCCCCCCAAACTTCATTCAACATAATATAAAAGTTGAACTTACTCATTAGTTGGTGCAGGAAGTTTTGATTTTGTTAACTCCTCACCTAAGCAAAGGACAGAGTAGTATGACCAAAGCTGTGATACACTAAAATAAAAATCTTTCAGCTTTATTACACAGAAGTAGTAAATGCTTACCACTGTAGTTCAAACTTTATCACAGATTATTAAAATGGAAAGAAGATGCATTATTTCTGATAACATAAATTCAGATCTCCTGAAATACCTTCTGAAAGGACTAGACAGAGCAGTACAGTTTGGGAGAAAGTACTGATCGTTTGAAATTTCATCCTTATAGTATTCTGTTTACACCAATTTTAGTCTTCAGCAAACCTGTTCTTTTTTCTTACTGGGGAAAAAAAAAAAAAAAAAAAGAAAACCACACATACAAAAAACCTAGAGGATATACTTTCTCTCTGAAAGATAGTACTTAGTGGATTTGTAGATCTGTGGATCTCACCTAACTAGAGATGGTGGAAGGGTTTTAAGAACTTACACAAGAGTCATTTCCCTTTGCTCTTGGACTTGTTCCTCAGCAATGTCACAGACAGCCTCATCTGATTCCCAGAACAGGGAACAGCTAAGTACATAGAAACTGAGATCTTCACATATTTTCTACGGTTTTGAAATTTAGACCACATAACTCAATTTCATCCTTTGAATTTACCACTAGTAGTTCAAAAGAAATATCACAAAGGCACCAAAAAAAAAAAAACTATTTTCATGCTAAATTGAAAAACTAACATAAATAGACTAAAAGTTAAATATTGTACTTACTGGATGAATTTCTGTTCATTTGTGCCTGAAACAGAAGAAAAAATATTATTATTGTTGTTGTTGTTACAACAATTGCCAAAAAAAACACTTAATAGTCCCAGGGCTCATATTTCCACTCAATCTTCCATGATATTTTACTTTCAGTGCCAGGCAGAACATTCTGGAACTTGCAGAATAATAGAACTAGAGCCATGACACAGCAACCACTGCAAACCTGTCACACAGGATATGAAAGGGCAGGAAAGAAGATTGCAGAACTGACAAAGGGAACAGTATTACCAAATCTCTTTTCAGGCTAGGCCAGTAGAATTTCACAGCTTTCGTATAACATGAAAGCTGCATCGTGTCTGACAGATAAGAATAGAAACATTCCTAAAATTTTCTCAACTCCCTCACATAGTAGACTTACTAGATTTTCATTTGAAAACATGAATAAAAAGCCATTCTGTACTTACAGGACTGTGTCTCTGCTTTCAAAACATGGGTGAAAAAAAAGAAAAATCACTGTTAATGTTTTAGTATTACTTTCCTTGAAATCAGAGCCATCCTAATTCTACTCTGACTATTGCACTAGAATACTTCAAAGCTATTTATTTCTAATTTCATCTCTTGGTATAAAGGATAATACTGTGGTTTGGCAGAATACATACAGTAAAGATGCTCTTTAAGAATTGCACGTACCTACATCATATAATCAATTTTAAAGGTTTGTATATTATTAAATACTCATCAGTTAACTAAGTAGGCAATGCAATGTACACTTAACTCCACATTTATTCAAATTCATTGTGGTGGCAACGGTGGAAAGACAAGGATTGAGCACTTCTCAGACGTTAAAATCTGAGAAAATTACTTAACATTAAATTGTGATAAACCGCATGAAAGATAATCAAGTGCACAGTAAAAAAAAAAAAAATAAAATTTTAACCTAGAATAAATTCTGGACGGTAAATTACATGTTTACAGTAAAGATTTCTTATCGCTTTTCTTCTCTATTCATTAAAAATACAAAGAACAAAATTACTTACGGATGTTGCTGGAGAAAGGGCAATGTTCCCTATAGATACTTTTAATTCATCCAAGGAAGGCATGGTATACTGAGAGCTATTATTTGGCTGTACAGGTTTTATTTCTATATGGAACCTCCTGGGTTCATCATCTTCAGAGTCAGAATCACTGGATGAATAGAAGTGGTTCTCTTTGGTATGTTTTTCTCAGTTAAGGTGGAAGTACTACAAATTCACTTACTTTACAAATTACAAATTCATACACAACTGATAAACAGTACTGCCTAAACTATTTGTGGAGTTATACAGACATCTCAAATAGATCCCACAAGACAGAGTAAAAAAATTCAGTTTTCATATCCCACTCGTCTTCAAAATGGTACCCCTGTTATGAAAGGCAATACTACATCCTATAACTGAAAATGAGCATATTTGAAGGCATCCAGATAAAAATAAAGATTTTGCATTGGCAACAATTCTGTATGTTAAATTAATGATTTGTAAGATTCCACCAAGGATCCTAATGCATGTATGAAAAATGTATGAATTGCAGAAATCCTTAAAAATCAAGTAAGGGAAAACTCTAGGCTTTCTAAATAGCAATGGAATGCCATAGTACCTGTACCAACCATAACAGCAGAGGAAGCAGCAGCAGCCACCACAATTTGCCATTTTTGCAGAGTGGCATGACAATTTTGCAACAAAGGTTAAAACTTAAAACAATGTCAACATTCCTTAAAAAGGAATCACAATGACAACTCAGCCCTCAACACAAGCAAAATATATAGATGAATTTAGACTTAAGATTCTTTTTAGGTACATATACTGCACTGGGAAAAACCTCTGAAAGGCCTATGCTAAGTCTTAAAAGATGCATTTGTTTTGACAAGAAACAAGGTAAAAAATTTTCTCTACTCAAAATTTTCTTGCCACGTGGGGGGAGAACACGTACCCTATACATTGCTTCCCTTTTTTTTTTTTTTTTTTCCATTTGAAAAAATGCCAGCCATTTGAATGAAATCTCTTGAAAGTATTTCCTGACAAAGATTAAAACCCTGAACCATAAATGCAATACAAATCCAATTTAACTTAAAGAATCCCTGAGATCTAGTGAAGAAAAATTCAAATGTCTCCATCTTACAGGCTATCCGTTCTCTAAAATGGATCACATCTTGAAAAGAAAATTTTAAGACAAGCCATTTTTCATTTCACAAAATTGCCTTGCCTGTAAAGTTACTCAGTTTTATGACTCATTTACTACAAATCAGGCTGTTGCATGCAGATCTATTAAATGGTTACTGTCAAAAATTATTTTGATCTGAATGACGTGAACTAAAAGGTCAGCCAGTAATTTTTAGGATGAGTGTTCTTCCAACACTTATGATTGGCCTTACTAAGATAGACTGCCATTATGGTAAATTTATGTCCTCCAACAAATCACCTTAAGAATTCCCATCAGCAGAATAAATATCCACTCTTGGATGCTAGTGAGAGGAAAAGAAGAAATGAACTGATGACTTCCTGAATCTGGTCAAAAGCTTCTGAAGGTGAAGGGATTGCAAATCATTGAACTTTGTCACTAGATGTATGGCCGTTTCCATTTCTTCATGACAAAAGGGATAGTGGAGAAAATGATGTCTGGGTGAATCTTTTTCAAAGAATGGATGTTACTCACTGCATTTCATAAATATATGCAAAACATGAAATAAAGCCCTCCACAGAACTGGATAATTCTGTCACTTTTATACTTGTTTTCTAAACGAGAGAGAACATGACTGTTTTCATCAGTACAGGAATCTTCTCTGGGTGCAACAGAAGCATATTCTGCAGGGATGATGAAAACAGAAATAGTGATGAACTGGTTCACTTTAACGTGATTTCTACTTGTTAAAAATTGTCACTAAGATAAATGTAAAGTGTAAATTTACCTTTTATTTCTAGTCCTACAAAAAATCAGTGAAAACATTTCAAAAAATTAAGGATCTTGCTAACATCATAGGCTTGCTTAGATCTACAGCAAGCCGGATTTCAGCTCCTGAATACAGCCTGCCTCTGCTTCTGATAGGAGAACAAAAGAAGACAAAAATATTTTCCTTCAAAGGAAGAGCAGAATAAATCATGAGTCTTCATAAAAAACTTTTACAGTTCCTATGATGTCTGATCTAAATTTTAACATTTATACACAAAAAATTTCGGCCAGACAAAATTTTGTACGGTTTGCAGAAGCTATGAGCATAAGACTACAAAGTTGCAACATAAGCTTGAATGAAGTCTTCCTTTACTTAAAGATTTAATCAGTACTTGCACTCTTCAAAGAACTGTAACAACATCAAATAATTTGGTACAACAATAGTAAAAAGGATATCCTGTGTTGTTTCTGGTTTAATGCTGTATCCTTCATCATCTACATCAGGGATGTTCTAAAAACAAACAAACAAAAAATGTGGTATTGACAAGTAATTAAAACATGTTCTTACATCAGACTGGATTTTATGTCAATGACAGATTAAAATTTGATTATGACAGCTCATGCAAGTCATCACTATTCACCAATAATTATTGCAGTTATCTCATGTTATGGTCTATAATTCGGAAGTAGAGTGACAGGCAAGATACCTCAGAACAGAGTGCAGCAAAAAACCCCCTAAATTTCCTGTGAAAAATGGCAGTTTAAATGCAACTGTTTTTACTGGTAGGTTAGCAAAAAGGTCAGTAGCAAGTTACCTTTATTGCTGAGTGCTAAATAAGTCTACAGGTTTTTGGCTCCAAATGTTTTCCTAGTTGCTACTTCTAATTCCTTCAGCTGAGCCCTTTGAGGCTCTGATGGTGCAGGAATATAACATTTACTAAGCACTAGTTAATACTTCAGTAAGTGAGTAAAAGCATTCCAGGCTATACAGATTGCAACTTTTCTCCCCCTTGATAAGGCAGCAAGCCTGCTTTAGCAAAGAATATGCACATCAGTTAAAAAGCATGGATGAAAATTAAAAATACATCCTCAGCACTGCCCTGGATTTTCAAAGCTAATAATCATTCAGGAACTTCAAACCATTTCAGTTTTTCAGGTCTTCCACGCATTTAAACATAAATTGAAGAGAATTATGCTAAAAATCATTTAGAATGATTTAGAATGAATTTATAAAAACATAATAATGTCAAGATTTGTATAGAAAGTGATTTATTCTGATGTATCAGTAAGTTTATCCTTTCTCTATTAGAAAAAATGTACGGGTAAGCAGTTGACTGAAAAAGAAACATGTATTATGGCCAAAATATATCTTTCTGATACAAGTCATGAGATACAAGAAAATAACTTATACTAGAGACTTCCAGTTGGCTAGCAAGCAGCCACTTGACTTCACCTAAAATTTGAAGGCAAGCTTAAAGAAATATTCAACCTGAATAGCTTTAGAATTACAGAGGAAGAATAACATACAGTTGCTCTTCTGTTCATTTTATAGGCATCACAAATGTGATGTCTCATATTTTACTAAGATACATTCTTTTCTGTAAAGCTCTCTAAATCTAACACTTCTAAATTAAGTGTAATGAATTTAAATATAGACCAAACTTTATGCTAAAAGGAGTAAGAAATATGATCACATATAGGAGATACAATACAGTACCTAATTAAACAGCATAACAAACTAAAGCAAAAAAATATATTTAAACACAAACTTTTAAAAACAGAACGTCTAGATGCAGTTTCTTGGAATTTGGAAGACTGCCTTCACCAGCAATTGATTTTAAATAAATAAATAAATAAATAAAATAACACCACCAACCCCCCCCCTCCAAAAAAAAAAAAAAAAAAAAGGTAATAAGAGTAGGATCACACGGTCCAGTACCTTAGCTCTACTTGCTCAAATCAGGGTTCTTAGCTACGCTTGACCTCAGGCCGACCTTGTTTATATGCCAAAAAACACTAATGAAACTTGACATCAAAGTAAACAGAACAAAAACATACAGCTAGAGGGTAGGTACATGTTCTTATTACAACTTCTGAATTCTGAAGTGATTTAGTTGTCATAATAGACACTTTTCAATAGATTTGGATCACTCATGGTTAAGATGAATTGAAAAACAACAATCTTCAAATAGACAACATTTAATTTTTCTTCCAGCCAGGCCATATATGTAAAAGATATTATTACTGGGGACACACAGCACAAACAACTTAGCTGACAAATCTGTCTGTTTAGGTTTATAATTGTGAAAAAAAAAAACTCAGTTTGAAGAAGATATTTTCATTGCATTATTTTAGCTTATTGAGTAATCTCTAGGATAAATTGTATCTGTACAAAGCACTAAAATCTTAACTTTCTTAAAGTATGCAATTTCTTTCTTAATATTTTTATCTAAGTATTTCTGATCTTGAGAAGGTATTTGAAGCAGCTATTTCTCAGCAATGTTACTTTAGCATATAGCCTGTATAACTTCAGACAAGAAGTTAAAATTAATATTTTCAAAACAGATGGAAAATGTACAGCCTAACTTCTGAACACATGAACTGTAAAAGTCCTTGCTCTTACACCTCCAGGACTAGATTGCTTTTTTTTTTTTCCTAACACTTTCCAAAGAACTTTATTTGTACTTTTTTTCTATTTTGAAATTTGATATATACATATATATAACTTAAAATATATATAACTTCTGACTTTCCATAGTGTAAGCAGTCAGAAATCATCAGGCATTATATTTCCAGGTTCCTCCATGATTGATTTTGATCTTGTACAAAATTCTTATCATTCTTAAAATGCCTTCTGTTTTCCTTAATGAGATACTGAATTCACATTTTTGTATAACTATCGACAGATAAGGTTGAATCAATGAACTTTTATACTGACGAATTGTGTCATATACAAGCAAAATGTTACTTCACAGTCTTACTTAAAATTAAGTAGTAATTTCAAAATACTGTTTTCATGGTGATCAGTTTTCCTTATTTTCTGACACACGAGACCGTTATTTACTAATTTACATTTTGTAACAGTACTAGAAGACACAGCCCTTTAGATACGCTACATATTCACAAAATTGATGTTAATGAAGGCATTTACACTTATCAAGCTAAGCCTTCTCCACACTTCTACAAAGACAGAACTGTATGTAAGGTGGTAGATAATGATGCATCTTTCAAATACCAGGCATGCAATATAGTGAAGACCTGATTTGCCTACCGCAATGAAATGAGGAGAAAAAATACGACCTCCATGTATACATGTCATTTTCGAACTTTAGCAGAGAGGAAGAAGATCTTTACAAATTTTGGTTTTCCATAAGAGCTAGTTATGAATGTGAGTGGGGATGAAGGTTTAGCCCCCTACCCAAACGCTTTACTTGTTACATTCACAGAAAAAAGTGCTCAATATGGACATGACTTGAACTCTGAAAGTCTCTGGAAAGTGTACTTCCTAGGAAGAAGGCTTCACATTCTCAGAGGTTCTGCTAAGTGACTAAATATACTGGTACAAAAAAAGCACAGAGTTTTTCCCTGTGCTTGCAGATGTAATACAACACATTACTGATTAAGTTAGTATGTAGTTTCGAAGAAATATATATATATATATATATATATATATATATATATATGTATGTATAATTTTAGATTTTATAACTCGATCTTTACATTAGTATGTTTTACACACTTTCTGAGATGAATATTTTTTTTTAAATAGAAATATAACAAAAGGACATAACGAATAACAAAGCAAAACTACCTATACAAAAAGCGTAAGGAATGGAAATTCTATTGCCATTTTCAGAGTCTGAGTCAATACTTTGGCTCAAATTCCTTGTTCTATCCCATCTGGCATTTAAAAATGGAAGATGCCTAAATCACTACCATGTTATTGGCTCATCCAAGGTACACACAAATGATGAGAGACGAGACAGCTACAGTCTAGATACTTCATTCGTCCCTTCCTCAGCAACATCAGCACTACTCACAGGTTGGTTACTGGGTGAAAAACCAAAGAACCTTAACTGATCTTCAGCAAGATTTCTGCCCATTTTCTCTTCTTATGGGATGTTTACAGTGAGAGCTACTCATCAAGTTTTCCTCAAGGCATGCTTCAAGATATTACTAAGCAGAACAGTTCACTGTTTCTTTTTTTTTGGTTGATGAACTTTCTGTCATTTTACTGAGGAAGACTGACTTATTTCTGTACACCCAGATCAACAAACTCAAAGCACACTCAAAGTGAGCAGTTGAAGCTTGTATCCTGGAAGAAGACAAAAAAAAAAAGAGCCTCTCTACTTTTAACATATTTAAGATGCAAATTTGACCCAGGTACATCCTCATGGCTAAGACTGTTCCACATTACATTCTCAGCCTCCTCTCTTCAGGGTATATACAAAAGATATGAAAGAAGAGAGCATCCAGTCACTTTCTTTCACTGCCAGAGATGCAGAAAGAAAACAAAATGAGTATTCATAGTGCTCCCCTCCTGCACTGTGACTATAAAGGTTCATATTCTGTATCATCATCAGCTACTCAAAACAGATCAGAAGTGAACATTACAAAATACAAATAAAGAAAAACATTTGAATATAGCAATCCAGATATAATTAAAGTTGTACTCGTGTTCCACAAATTAATGACAATTCCAAATTCAATCATTCCCTAGGAATAAAAATGATGTATAATTAAATAGAATCTTAATTATGCTATACCCTTTACATATTAGATTAATGAAAACTTTTTGATGCCCCAATATTGTTTGCATTCCAGTTTCCACAGAAAAAGGGTTCAGCACTATGTTCTGTGCATCTGTGATTCCCTTCTTAATTACTTTTGAGCTTACTGGACAATTTGAAGTGGATTTGACAGAAAGAACAGAGGACTCAAAGATAATTACATTACTACAGTTTTCATGAAAATAGGCAGTCAAGTAGAAGAGAGATCTGCTAGTATCCCAACCAAAGGAAGGGCTGCAATCCAAACTCAGACCTTACTGGACATAAGTGGAACCTTGTAAATGCTTTCCTAGAAGAAAATTTCTACTAGATCTTCTATCTTCCTACACACCTACAGACATGTCAAACTCATGGGAAACAAGACAATTAGTTCTGCCCATGGAGCAACTTGCTAGGGAATAAACACACAACCAAACTTCAATTGCTTTCTCCTTCTAGTGTACGCACAGCTTTCTACTTAATTATTAAGGCTTTACTTGATGGAAGTTAGATGTGTAGCATGATATATAATATCACGAGTTTCATATCTCATGACATACTGTGATCCATATTTCAACAGAGAATGCTTATTGAAGTGTTCAACCTCTTTAACAGAAAACAGTTGTAAGTACACAGCTGCCTGCAAACTCATAATCACATAAAAACCTGTTATAGCAACTACAAAAAAAATATTGATAGCAATTAATTATTTTTTTCATTTGCAATAAAATTATATTTTCCAATATATACAATCTAACAGCTGCAAAAAAAGGACGAGCATAAGCACATAGCTTTAAGTATAAGCACATAAGCACTTTAAGAACTTTCATTTTGGTACAAAAGACCTTTCTTAGGACAATCTTGCTGTTTTGTTTTCTGAAAACAGAGAATACAGGTCAGAATATACTGCATATACATTTTGGACTACTGACAAGACCCTGATGGAACTGGCTACTTAGTATCTATTTTCAAAGATTGGATCTGGTAGATAACTGATATAACCATGGATAACTGGTAGATACAGTATTGAAAGTCAGTTCTTGCTGGTTACTCAGCTTCTAAAAAGTCAATATATTTACCTCAGTGTTTAAAATTACAAATATCTATAAGGTGGTTACTTCTCCTACAGTCCCTTCTCTTGAGTGAAAAACAACTAAAATTCTTGGCAAAAAAATAAAAGCAAATTTTAAGAAAAAGATCATGATAATATAAAAGCCAGACATTGAAATTTTTAGTAATTGACCAAACATGACCAAAATCAAAATATTAACCATTAGTACGGGACACCTTAAATAAGCTGAATTTTCTAAGGATTCATCCTCAGTACTTTTCTAGCGATCAAACAAAAATAATACTTCCTTTTTCTTTTTGCAATAATTCTATTTCAAGTTCAATTTCTTGAAACATGTAATGTATTGTGAAGATGTATACCAAATGATCCTCATAGAGATAGCCAGGTACAATAATTACTAGCAATAATTACTTAGACCAAGTTTGCAAAATGAAACAGAAAAGATGCCTTACAGGAAGACAAGAAAAAGTGAAAAAACATATGAAATGTCGCCTTCCAGAGGATGCCAACCTGAAGTATAAGACTACACTCAGGATAAGTTAATTTTAAGGGGTGAAATGAATCTCATCTATGGTACATTGCATCATTTTTCATGACAGTAATGGGTTCTGCTACTACAGCATTCTACCATTCAAAATAATACTTTTGTTTGTAAAAAGCAAGAAGAAATGATAGACCAATTTTTAAATTCCAAATGTAATCAAAAAATTGTGGGTGTTAAAAAGAAGAGGAGGCACTGAAAGTATCAGTTTTGTTGTTAAACACTATGAAAGCTAGTGTTTTTATGCTTGTTTTTTTTTTTTTTTTTTAAATATATATATATATATATATATATATATATATATATAAATTAAATCTAGACAGAACAACTAACTTATATGATCATATGGTGTGCCTCATGCAGCCAGAATGAATGTCAGACTCATTTACAGTTGAATTAATTATCTTCTAAAAACGTAGAGGCCAAAATAAGCAAGGAAGAAAATAAATACTGCAAGTCAAACCCGGTTGTGCTTCACTCCAGTGACTCAACCTGAACTGTCAAAAGACATTATTTCCATGAAAAGACTGATAAACTTACTTTAAATTAAGATGACTTTATACAAGATAAAATAATTGTCTCATATGATTCTTAGAGGGCTGTGCATATACATGCAGTTCTATTATGTGGCAAATTTTAGCTTTCTTTAAAAACTAAATTCCTCAAAAAAAGTTTTTATACTACATACTAAAACTTACAGACATTATATGAAAAGATGAGAAATCCACAACAGGTGCACATGGAGACTAAAATTGTTTAAGATAACTGGCATCTAAATAAATTAACTGAAAATCAAATCAGTCTATCCAAAGTCACTTAAACCATTCTGTAAATTATTCCCTACTGTAGCTACAGGGAGTTCCAATATCCATTACATATAATTCAAGACAACATCTATGATTTTAAATAAAAATAAAAGACTTAATTAAGGAAATAAAAAACTATTAATACGTGTAACTGTTACTTATTTTAATTTAATAAATAAAATTCTAAGATGTAGCACAGATCAATTAAGAGCAACAAAAGGCAGACCACAAAAAGCGTGCATCTAGAAATTCTACATTTAAAGCAGATTTTACAAACTATATTCCTACATTCTATTGCCATCAATCAAGCAGAACTCCATTAATTTCAGAAAGGTTCTCCAGGGAGACAGTAGTAAAGCAAAAGAACGTGATGATGCAAAGTTGGGTCCACATGAGAATATAGTGAACTTTTAACTCACTCAGAATCTATTAGTCAAGCAGTTTAAACTATTAACTGGCAAAACAAAGTAGCTATTAATTGCAGTAAGAATATCCTGTTTAAAACCTAAAATTGTTAGGAAACAAACACATTATAGATGCATATTTTCATGTATTGCGAAAGATTATGATCTGAGAAAAAATTAACACTTTAGTTATGTTAGCAAAATACGAAATTCTCTATCACATAAATAATACTTTGCAAGGACTATATATAAAGTTTTTTTTTTTTTTTTTAAACTGCACTGTTTAACAATGTTAGCATAAACGTTTGTGTAAGAAATAAGTCTACTTACAACTGAGTCTGCGTCTGGACACTCCCTATTAAAAAAAATAAAGAATATACACAATTACAAAACACACAAATGACTTTATTCATCCAGTTCTGATTCTACTTCAGTGTTTCAGATTAATTGAAAATAATAGAAGTTAACCCCTTTGCCTCTCAAAGTCTATTATAATTTTTGCAATAAATAAACCACATCCAACTGAACGAAATTTAAAAAAGAAGCTAAAAGTTTATGGTGAAAACACTACAGAAGAAAAATTCACAATAAATGCTTTAAAAATAAACTCACTTCATAGCAAAGAAAAAAAGAATCAAGGGAATTCAGGAGTACTGTGATTTACTTTGAATGAATAACTTAAAGAGTCAGGTCTCTGTGGACAATTTGCATAATAAGTACAAGTCACCAGACTCAATGAAACATTTTGGATAATAACTAGCTCTTCAAACAATTAAGACTATTCTTAAAGGAATTCAGATCTTCTTTCTTTTGAAAATTCATTCCTAGTTCATGCTTGTCAAGTAAAGTTGCAGCCAGGCACCAGAAAGTGCAGGAAAAAATAAAAGTATCTTCTTAAGAAACACTTAAAAAAATAAATTTAAAAAGTGATTGGAAGGAATAGTGATTACAGTGATCTCTTCCCACCAATACAAGCAAAAAAACAGAAGGAATTACATTTACTGTATGTGGGGATACCTGAGTAGCATACAGGTGATTAAATCCTCTCTAACCTGCGCCCTCAGGAACAACTCCGTAAATGCTAGTACAACTGAACAACCACATTTTGGTGCTATCAAATTGAACATCCTAAATTTGTACTTATGAAAAATTTAAGAAAGGGAAGAAAAAAAAAAAAGAGAGAGAGGAGAAAAGATTTTGGAGCAAACTACATCACCTCCAAAAGGTTAAAAGAAGTTGTAAGTAAAAACTACAGTGTCCTTAAAAACAGGTTTGAAAACTTGCTGACATGGAAACACGAACACAAAATTCAGTCCAGCCTATTAAGGAACACAGTGAGATGAAGGGTCTCGTCTCCTCTCCCTTAAAAGGCTGCACACAAAAGAAAATGTGTGTAACGAAATCAAATTGTCCTATGTCATACCTCCCTCTGCTGGCTAAACTGAATTCATAGCAATAGAACCAGCTACTTTAAAAGCTATTGCAGCTTGAAGTATTAGACTTCTCTCAAAAGGTTCTAAACGGTGGTGAAGTGGAAAATGAGGACATCAGGTTTTAGATGGATGTGCTTTTATATTGTTAGATGCATAATCTTTTAACATTAAAGAACTGGGTCATGCTTTTAGTATAATGCAATATTGCAGAAAATGGGGGTTTTGTGAGGGAATCTAAAAATTTTAGTTAAAAACTATACCAAATAAATCATGCAAAGCAGTAATTAGCAAAAGAAGCAAAACCCTTGACTGAACCTGTGCAGCAAGAGCATAAAGTGTATGACAATTACTTGTGTAAAAACACTACTGGGCACAACACCTGGTTTAGGTGTCAACACTGCAGAGATTGATAAACTGAAAAGCCTACAAAGCATGAGAGTTATTTATTCTAGGTCTGGAAAGCATGTCCTACACAAACTAAGCAGACTTCCAGTCCAGTTTAACAAGAAATTAAGAAAGCACTCTCTGTGTGCAGAGAAGTTGCTGATACAGAGCTCTATCATGCACAGTTTGTAAGCTGATCATCAGCTGAAGATGAAATCAAGCAAATACAGACTAGCAGTAAAACTCAAAATAGATGATAAATAACTATTAGAATATTTTATTTAAGAACTTAATGGATCCTCTATACTTGAAAAACAAATATTATACCACATTAAGTTCTAAATATGTGATAGAAATTCTAGACTAGTGCAAGAATCTTTGTAAAAACCTACGGCATGTGGTGTACAGTAAGTCAGTATCATGCAGTTATATTTCTTTCTGTTTGACCTCTACATCTATTCTTTTTTGTGTTGTGTGCAAATATAGAAACAAAAAAAATATATATAAATCAAGTTTTGGAACTTATTTTCCCATTTCTGGCTACATTCGTTTTTGTTATCTGGTGACATCACTATGTAATGTAAAACAGTATTTTTCCCTGGAAGAAACACTCAGATTATCTTTGAATTTTAAATATAATTTCTTTGGAAAATGTCAGCTTTCACAAAAGTATTGAGACCCAATGGATAAGCACACAAAGATACTCGAACAGTACAGAAGCCAATTTTCAACTATCCGTACCAAAGACAATTTCTTTCTGTGATGGGTCAAGCAAAAACATGACCACTGAGCAAGGATACATTAAGTGATATACCTGCAACGAATCATTTTGGAGCTTCCTGGCCTATTACTGGCTCCAGAAAAATAATATTAAGAACCTTCAGTCTTTGCTGGGGCCATATTAAATTTCATTCATCATCTGTCAAAGAATGGATGGAAGAAGATGCTTGGCTTGCACATTAATAAAAAATACAAGAGATCAGCTTGTTTAACAACCCATGTAGTGGTAAAATATTTTTTTGTTGGACAAAAAAGCTGACAGCTATAGAATTCAATCATGTAACAGTATTCAAAACTCAAACAAATATGCAAAATCACTACTTTGCAATGCAGTAAATGCAAGGAAAAAAGGCTAATGAACGTACATAGTGCTGTTTTACATGGTGAGTTTTGCATCACAAAAGTAGTGTAGTAAACAACTCTCTAGAGAGAATTAATATTTCTAAAACGTGCACAAAAACTCTTTTAAGCTCTAATATCATCATTCATAACACATTATTTTAAATATTTTAAACTAAATCATCAGAAAAAAGTTTGTAACTTTATTTTTAGGTTACTGCTGACCAAAATCATACTGCGTACATTTTTCTCATCATTTACTTCAACGAAATTAAGTACGCAAGAGAGGGTGGGGAAAGATTAAATCACAGAAAGAACTGAAATATAGAAGAATGAGTTAAAGCAAATAACACCTTTGAGCCCCAGTTGCATCTTCCTTGACAACATGGAGAAAAATGATGGTTTAGAAGTGTATCACTATTTAAATCAAACACCAAAAGAAAAATAGCTATAAGGCACTTTTTGTATGTGCAAATAATCAACATCTGCAGTTCTTAGGTTATGAATTTTTCAGAACTGTATTAAAAAAGAATGTATACAGATGTTGCCACCTTGAAAATATTTCTATATTGTTACATTTCTGTTAAATTTCTGCTATTTCTGTTGAATAAAATATTTCTATTGAGCAAATACTTCTGGAAATTTAGAACCAAATACCCTGTAATACAGTAACTGTAATTACTAATACATGGAATGCTACCAATCCACGCAAGAACTTTTATTTAGACTCACTTTCTGGATAGTCTTAACTCCTGGGAGATAGAGTGAATATAGCAGAGGGTATAGCTGGGATATCAATCATGAGTTAAAATGATGATCTTTCTGACTTGAGTGTGCACATCATTTACTGGAAAAACATTCTGTACCATACACAAAAGCTTTCCTAACAGAAGAATAACAGAAGCTTCAAATCTGCAAACAGACACATAGCACTTTTTCCACAGCTACAGCTATTATTTCATTAGGAGTTCATGTGAAAATCGCATTATCTACAATGTTCAAACGTAGAACTAAGGAGAACTACTTACCTCTGCAAAGAAAAGAATGAAACATCAGTAGATTAATAAGCATATTATTTCCTTTAAAAGCCTCTGTTACAAAATTCTTAAATAGCTGTGATGTTTTCATATTGCTAGCATTTTTCTAAATTAGCTATAAAACCAGTTGTTAAACATCAGTTCAGTTCATGTTTGTCTCCGTACCTTTACAAGTTTTCACAGAAGACAAAGCTTCAATTTGGGAACATACTTACACAGATTCAGTATCTTTTTCTTTTTTCATTATTCCTGATAAACCAAAGGGCTTCCTCTTCCGTGGTTTTATCCCTATGGAACAAAACCTTTTCTTATTCAAATATCAGAGAGATGAGTATATATCTAGCAGTGTCAAACACTTGTGCATATCAACGTCAATACGTTTTAAATGCTGCTACAACAAGTGACAGAAAAATCTAGCAGTGGAAGTAGTATGGAGAGAAACTAAGGGAACATAAGCTATCTGCAATACATTCCAGTATATTGTTAAGTAACACACCAACCAAAAAGCAACACATCAATAATTTAAGTCATAAGTAAAGTTTAAGTAAAACTGATTTGCTATTCTCAACATTCAGTATGCTACACTGCCACTTCTTTTATAAATGGACGCACTACTAGTTCTCAGGAAAGGGACCCGGCTCATGGAAACCCAAGAGAAGCCATTTCCCCTGCTAATCCTGAATAGCCAATGAACTTGGATCAGAAGCTCAAACTGTCCCTATCAGCTACTGCAGTTCAGCACCCTGTTCTTATTTTCCTGAACGTTCCTAGTAGCTGCAAGCCTCCACCTCTCCCCAAACCTAGGATCTTTGTAAAAAAGAGAATGTCTCTAGGTTTTCCAGCTGAGGCTCAGCTCATGATTCCTTAGTGCTGTAGCTAGGACTAAGGCTTGTTCCCATTGAGTCTGGAATCATGTCTTACCCATTTTTAACACTAGATACATATGGGTATACTACAGAAAAAAAATATAAATCTTTTATTCCTATTTAATGTAATAAAAATAAAATACATACTTCTGAATATTTCATCGGCCTATTGTTTCTACTTCTCTCCCCATTTTTGCTGTAGCTAAGTAGATTGTCAATCTTTAAGCAAAATGACTAACTACAACTAAGTGCAACCATTTGATCCAACGAGTCTACAGTTTTTTGTTTTTTGTTTTTTCTTTTTTTTCCCCCCACATTATATACTATCTACAGCAAGCTTTTGAGCAGAATGGTGGAAACAATTTGGTTTCCCAAATTTTGCAACCTATAGTTCAAATGCATAATTAAAATTTCATTATATTACCCTTTACAGCAATACATCACACAGCACATAAGGAACCTCTCTGCTGTGAGAAATTTTCAGGGTGAAATAATTTAAACTTCTCAAATCGGGTAGCTGTAAATTCAGCTGCATCTTATGTTTTTGTAAGTACACAAATTGCTCCAATATTATTTTAAAAATCTATTGTGAGATTTATGTCCTTTATGTGCTTTATCTAGTCCAATCCATTAACAAATAGAGTATATGAGTAGTTTCTGAATATTGATCCCCTTCATTTTAGTAAAAAAAAAAAATTAAGTTTCAGCTGCAATCTTGGCAATTCAAAAGTTGCTGGACACTACAGCTATACTGTTGACTCCTCTGTCCCTAACATAAATACACGGTGTATGCAAATAAAACTGTTCTTAACCACTTAAAACAATTCCCAACAAAGAAAGGTTTTGTGACCATAACACTGCATTAAAATTGGTACAACTAACATGACAACAATGGGAAGAGCCTGGGCCATATTTTGACACTTGTTAATGGAGTTACACAGTTGTAAGTGAACCAAATCCAAACCTCTGCAAAGACTAGGTCTTAGCCAAAGTACATTTGTAAGAAACATTAAAATTCTCTGACATAATGCATTAGTTCAAAAAGTATTGTAGGTCTTACTTTCTTCTATATTTGTTTCTTAAAAGAACAACTGTTTCTTAGTTGATTGGAATACTTTCAAGTTATATAAATTTAAAAGCTGAATACAATTCACTAATCAAGAGTTCCAGGTGCTATCCACTGAATTGTCATATAAATAACTACACTACAACAACTCACCTTCAACAGCACTGGATGTATTACATTCCTCAAATTCAATAGGACCTTAAAGAAATAGCAATGAAGATAAACATTAGCTTAAATTTAACTTCAAATGAGGGTCAAACACTTTAGCCACTATTAATATTTCTTGAAATTACTAGATAATCATTTACTAGATAATCGTAATTATGACTTTAAATGGTAAAGGAAAACCACGGTTGCTCTGTCAATGGTCAAACAGATGGTAAAATCATATATATACAGCAAATCATTAAATATTTTCACTTTTTCATAGTGAAAAAATAAAATTTTAGTGCACACTGCCCGAAAACAGGTTGACTGCCTATGCTCTTAGAGCTATATGAAACTATTCTGTTTCCTTTTCTCATTCAAAACTGTATCTCTAATATAGCATCAGTGTAAAGTTTTAGGCTTACCTTCTTTTAATGAGAGATGAGCTATGTAAAAAAATTGAAAACCAAAAAGTATAAAAAAAGTATAAAAAAACAGAAAGTATAGCTGTAACTCTATTTTTGAGATTCACACCTTTCCTGACTGTATTTTTAGTTCCTGTTTCTTCTTCATAATTACCTAGACTACCTACCTTCTTCTTCTTAATTACCTAGACAGTAAAAAGTGATGTGTGAGCACCGTTTAAGTGTAGTATCTAAATAAATTCATTATTGTGACTTCTCATTAGAGCTGACACAAGGTAGCGGTCAGGTATTATTGCAAAGGGTAAAGCTAACCCTCGTTTCTTCAATCTGTCTAAGTCTAGAGCTTGTTTAGCCCCACTATGAGCCATTTTAGGAAGTTCACATATACACTCATTACAGATAAAATACAGATAAAACACCATTCCCAATTCTGTAAGATTGCCTTTTTTTTTTTTCCTCATACTCTTTTTTGGGGCTTACTCATCTGCTGCAAATGAAACTGACCTCTTGCAAATTTCAATTACAAGCAACTAGAAGTAAAGAGATTGTGGAAACTTAAAATACAGAACAATTTGCACTTCTGCCCCAAAGCATATGTGCTAGTAAATACTCTAATTTATTTATCTTTATTATGAAATCAAGATTGTTTTGGAACATCTACCATAAAACCAAGAGTAGTGTAATTTTCAGTGTGTTTTCACATAAAATAAAAGGTGTGCTTGCGAGCATTTTCCATCATTCTCACTTGCACTCACTTCAAAATGAATGTGATACCCTTAGTCTTAAAATAACTAGTTGACATAAACAGATCTTATATACAAGAAAGATGACTACAGGCTTCAGTTTGTTTTTTTAAGCAGTACAACATAGCAAATTACTGTACTGCAATTAGAGATGCCACAATGAAAGAAAAAAAATAATTTAGCTGTGAATTAGTATTGTGAATTACACAACTGGGATTAATTTGCATTTGATTTACTCAGTTAATTACCTCAAATGGTTATATTTGTAAAGTAACCCCTAAAATGTATATTAACTCTTGAAGTGTAAAACTGTGTTCAACACCATATTTTGATGGCATTTCTCAAAATTGCAAATGAAAAAAAGTTATACTTATGTCAAACAAAAAGATAAAATTATAATTGAGAAACTGATTATGTAGCTCCATCCTAAGTAATGTTAAACAAACTGAATTATTTTAGGCATACTAGATAAAAGCTACCAGATAATTTGAAATCTTGCAGATATCTAGTGAATTGGATTAAAAAAAAAAAAGAATTCTAAGTAATGACTTATGTTTATTGCAATGACTCAGTCTGCAGTATTTTCCCTGCTGGTTAAAACAAAACAAAACACGTGTTTGTAAAAGCAGCAGTAGCATGAGAATCTAGGACTAGGACACATCGATACCTCATTTATCATAATGTAGTCGCTTAGGCTCCAGATGAAGCTCTTGAGAGCAGAATATCAAGACTAATTTCAAATGCCAGTCTTAACTACCGTTTAAATTTCAATTGCTAAATAACTTAAACGCAAGTCTAATTATTCCACAACAAGATAAAATGCAAATTCCAAACAGTTCTCTCATTCTACTACATATTGTAAATATATTGACATTTTAGACTGCTCTTCCAATCATTTCTCCTTTGCTCTCCTTGAAATTCATTGTAAAACAAAGTCACTGTGCTCCAAAAGTCAGCAAATCTGGATCTCACAAAATGAAAAAACAAAAAAAAAAAAAAAAAAGAAGAAACACTGATTCAGAGAAATGTCAAATCCCTATAACAATTTCGCCATTTTATTTTAGTTAATTAAATACCATTGTACACAACACATTGAGGATACAATTCAGAAAAAATACTGTAAGACATAAAAGCTCAAGAACAGATCCATTACTTATTCAGTACTGCACTTCAGACAATCTATTTTTCATCAATTTGCTAGGGATTCAACTGCTTCTATTTCTTGCTTCTATGCATATTTCCATTTGGCCAGGAAAAAAACAAAAGCCAAACCAACCACAAGCACTCTTCCCCAAAACAAAAACAGAAGGAAAAAACTGTAAACAACAGGGACTTAAACATATTTTTAGAATAAAACAATACTAAAGCTTTTTCAGAATACCATCCTTCCTCTTTACCATTACCAGTTACTAACACGGATCCCCAGACTTATAATTCTTCTACTCTAATGATTAATATATATATATATATATGTATGTATATATATATTCAAGGTTCCAGTAAAACTCATCCTTATTTCAGATATCTTTCACTTCAAACACAAGCATAAAAAAAAGATTGATCAACATGAACACATCAAAGTTTCTCTATTTTGTCCACCACGCTTGCCTAATGTTTGTCTTTGAAGGCAGATTTTTTTTTTTTTCTTACAGATTGGTAAGCTCTTTAAGAAATGAACACTCTCACTTAGTACTGAAATACACATGGATGTGAAGAACAGATTAGTATGTTCATTTAGAATTAACACAAACTGGCCTATCCCCACCACCCTGAGCTTACAGTCTTTCAAAAGGGTATTCTTTCCTCATATGCCAATAGAATACAATCTGAAACATTCTTAAGAATATTAAGAATTAAGAACTCTTAGTTAAGAATAGTCAGAGACTATAATTATCTAACTTCATGCTTCCTCAAAATGTGCAGTTAATACAGAAAATGTGCAGTTAATACCTTCTCCCCACATGCTTTTTCCTTTCTCTGTGTCTGCTAGCTGCTATACCACAGGAAAGATAAATCATGAGAACAGCTTTCTCTTACAAAAAATTCTGTGAACCAGTTAAAATTCTAAAGCTTCTTCTTATCCTAACTTATATTTTCCATTTAATTCAAATTTCTGTAAGGCTCTTTACCATTTGGAATCTGAGATATTTAAGATGCTTATGGCTGTCACTAACAAATTCACAAATATCACAAATATTCACTCACAGTCTATCCTTTTCCTCTAAACTCCATAGAAGTTTGCTTTTTTTTTTCCCCTAAAATTTGTATGTAACCTTCTCCTGACACAGTGTATCATATACTTGTAGCAAAGGCAAGCAAGGGTAAATTCATACATTGTGTACTTTTTAGCAGAACAGAGCGAAATTTGTAGTAGCTCTTACTTTTCTGGAGTTTTATTCCATAACTTCAGATCTCCAAAACAGTTCTGTTCCCTACATGCCCGCTGTAAAGAACACCACATTTAGCCCTAGGAGCGTTATTTTAAAGCCAAAATAACATTTCAGAAATAGATATTTTATGTGGTGCTGTATGGTGAGCCAATTTAGAAAACGGAACAGCTGTGATGAGCATTTTGTAGTCCACAAAATAACTAGAGTTTCTTGCAGGCAGACAGCTTTGTGCCTAAAGAGGTAATAATACTGTTTTTCAGCCAGAAGTGTGTACTGTTGCCACATCATCTCCCACTACAAGATGCAGCCAACCAGAAGCTTTCTTAAGAAGTTCCACTACATTACCCACTGTATTTTTTTGCCTCTGGATAACAAAAGCACCCGTGCTATCACTGAAAACAAACAAACAAACAAAACCCACACACTAAATCAAAAAGCTTTCTTCCCTGAACCACCATAACCTCTATCTTTCTAATTCCTAATTTCTTAATCTTTTGAAAATCCTCAAAAATTCCTAATGGGTTGGCAATAATGTAGGTATCTAAATAGGTGTAATAGCTGCATATCAAAGTGTGAAAACTCGTGTACTGCTATCACACTAACTTTCGTAACAGCTGCACGGAGATGTGGATGCACTACATCTTCACAAGGAGGAAAGAAGTTTTCTTAACAGACTTGTGCCCAGCTACTGCTGTGCAGACAGAAGGTTAACTCCAACAAAGATTACAGCTCAAAACCTGCACGATTAACTTAATGGCACTGATAACTTTTGTCTACAGAAACAAATGCTGCACAACCTAACTTCTGAGTTTTCTGAAGCAAGTATACTGATGTACTTGTCCATCACAACATCCGAAGAAAGAAAAGCAGTCATTTCACATTGAACAGGTATTGGTGATGACAGGGACTGAAGGGACACATTTTTATGGTTATCTCTAGAGTCCTAGCCACGTGGCAGCCCAAAGCACTGAAAAGTGCTACCACACTGAAATAATAACGACAATAATCTGCAGTACTACAGTCAAAGCATTGAGATTTCATTTGTACTTTTTCTCACAGAAAGACAAGAAACTAATGTGAATTCAGATGGGAGACTATTCTCAAGCATTCACCTGAAGACAAAAAGAAATGGACATAAAAAGAATAAAAACAAATATTAGAATAAAACCAGGACTATGAAAATCAAAAACATGTTTTAAAACACTTATCAGAGTAAGTAAAAATTCATAGCTGAGACCGCCCTTTACAAAAGTCTTTGCATTCATGTTCTTTTGGTTTAGGGATGGATAGTTTCAGGCTCCACTTAATATCTTCACAGTCTGGTCTGCTCGTTGTTATCTTGAGCTATGGAATGGTAACTCAACGATTTAAATACCTGCAATACTTGTACATAAACTTAAAAACCTATTTGATACTGTATGTACCCTAGGTAGAAAAAAAAAAAAGTACAAGTACCTTGTGGGATTTCAGTCACTTAAGGATACAGCAGGATG